TGTTGGATGTCAAACTCAGCCAAGAGCATAAGGTCAAACAGATTCCTCACTGGCCTTGCAGACAACTTCGTTGTCCAGAAAGTGGGAGAAGCAACAAGAGGAACAGCCATTTTAGATCTGGTCCTAACCAATGTTGATGACCTGGTTAGTGGGGTAGAAGTGGAAGGATCATTAGGCGCGAGTGATCATGCTCTTCTGAAGTTTACTATACAGAGGAAAGGAGCAGCCAAGCATACTAGGACTCAATTTCTTGACTTTAAGAAAGCCGACTTCATAAAACTTAAGGAAGTGCTGGGTGAGATCCCATGGACAGTAATACTAAAAGGAAAGGGAGTTCATGATGGCTGGGAGTTTGTTAAGAGGGAGATAGTAAAAGCACAACGTCAGGCAATACCAATGAGACGGAAACATGGAAGGTGCCTAAAGAAGCCAGGGTGGCTATCTAAAGAACTTTTAACTGAGTTAAGATTAAAAAGGATGTGTACCAAAAATGGAAAAGGGGAAACCACCAAAGAGGAATTCAAACAAATAGCCAGCACGTGTAGACACAAAGTCAGAAAAGCTAAAGCACAGAATGAACTCAGGCTTGCTAGAGAGGTTAAAAGCAACAAAAAGGCTTTTATGGGTATGTTCAGTAGCAAAAGGAAGAACAAAGAAACAGTGGGGTCACTCAGAGGAGAAGATGGTGAAATGCAAACAGGGGACACAGAAAGGGCTGAACTCCTCAATGCCTTCTTTGCCTCAGTCTTCTCCGATAAAGAAAACAATGCCCGACCTGAAGAATTTGAAGCAAATGATTCAGCAAAGGAAACACAGCCCAGAATAACTAAGGAGATAGTACAAGAATACTTGGCTAGTTTAGATGTATTCAAGTCTCCAGGGCCAGATGAACTGCATCCAAGAGTATTAAAAGAACTGGCAGATGTGATCTCAGAACCACTGGCAGCCATCTTTGAGAATTCCTGGAGAACAGGCGAAGTCCCGGCAGACTGGAGGAGGGCAAATGTTGTCCCTATTTTCAAAAAGGGGAAAGAGAGGACCCAAATAATTACCACCCAGTCAGTCTGACATCAATACCAGGGAAGATTCTGGAGCAGATCATTAAGCAAACAGTCTGTGAGCACCTAGAAAGGAATGCTGTGATCACCAATAGTCAGCATGGATTTCTGAAAAATAAGTCATGTCAGACTAACCTGATCTTGTTTTTTGACAGAATTACAAGCCTGGTAGATGAATGGAACGCAGTGGATAGGGCCTACCTTGATTTCAGCAAGGCATTTGACAAGGTGCCCCATGATATTCTTGTAAAGAAGCTGGTAAAATGCGGTCTTGACTATGCTACCACTCAGTGGATTTGTAATTGGCTGACTGACCGAACCCAAAGGGTGCTCATCAATGGTTCCTCTTCATCCTGGAGAAGAGTGACTAGTGGGGTGCCACAGGGTTCTGTCTTGGGCCCGGTCTTATTCAACATCTTTATCAATGACTTGGATGATGGACTCAAGGGCATCCTGATCAAATTTGCAGATGACACCAAACTGGGAGGGGTGGCTAACACCCCAGAGGACAGGATCACACTTCAAAACGACCTTGACAGATTAGAGAACTGGGCCAAAACAAATAAGATGAATTTTAACAGGGAGAAATGTAAAGTATTGCACTTGGGCAAAAAAATGAGAGGCACAAATACAAGATGGGGGACACCTGGCTTGAGAGCAGTACATGTGAAAAGGATCTAGGAGTCTTGGTTGACCACAAACTTGACATGAGCCAACAGGGTGACGTGGCAGCTAAAAAAGCCAATGCAATTCTGGGCTGCATCAATAGGAGTATAGCATCTAGATCAAGGGAAGTAATAGTGCCACTGTATTCTGCTCTGGTCAGACCTCACCTGGAGTACTATGTCCAGTTCTGGGCACCACAGTTCAAGAAGGACACTGACAAACTGGAACGTATCCAGAGGAGGGCAACCAAAATGGTCAAAGGCCTGGAAACGATGCCTTATGAGGAACGGCTAAGGGAGCTGGGCATGTTTAGCCTGGAGAAGAGAAGGTTAAGGGGTGATATGATAGCCATGTTCAAATATATAAAAGGATGTCACATAGAGGGAGAAAGGTTGTTTTCTGCTGCTCCAGAGAAGCGGACACGGAGCAATGGATCCAAACTACAAGAAAGAAGACTCCACCTAAACATTAGGAAGAACTTCCTGACAGTAAGAGCTGTTCGACAGTGGAATTTGCTGCCAAGGAGTGTGGTGGAGTCTCCTTCTTTGGAGGTCTTTAAGCAGAGGCTTGACAACCATATGTCAGGAGTGCGCTGATGGTGTTTCCTGCTTGGCAGGGGGTTGGACTCGATGGCCCTTGTGGTCTCCTCCAACTCTATGATTCTATGAAAAGGAATCCTGTATTGCCCCTATTGCCCAACTTCCAGAACATGCACACAGAGAACTGGGTCTTCCCAATATGATGCCCGGTGTAAACCAGTGATTTCTTAAAAATCACTGCAACCCCCCCTCCCTGCCCATATGACCTGGGTTGCTGTGTGTACAAGAAAACTGGTGGACAAGCAGCGGCAAGGACAGGCCCATCTGCTTCATCCAACCAAGTCTCTGTCACACATGCCAGGTCAAGTCCTCCATCCACGATCAAGTCATGGATGGCAGTGGTTTTTTGAGTCACGGACCTGGCATTGCACAGCAGCACCTTCAGGTCATGTGGGTTGATCCGTCCGGTCAAGACCAGACCCGGAGGAAGGGATAGTCCTCAAACAACGACTAAACCTGCCTCCTCGGTAATGACATGGTCTGATCTTAGCATAACTCCTACTCCTACCGTTGATCACTGAGATCAGGTGTCCCAGCGCATCCCCCCCCCCCCCCGTGGAACCTGCCCCAGATGTTCTGTTGGCTGGGGCCCACTCCCCGGCAGGCCTGACCAGCAGCCACAGCCCTTGTGAAGCCTGTCAGGCCCCGCCCAAAGCCAAGTAGAAAGAGGCAAGGCAGGACCCTTCTGAGGCAGTGTCTAGGGTGGATAATGGACTTGCTGAGGGTCCAGAAGCTAAAACTCAACCCAGGTACAGCAGAGGCATTATTGGCAAGCAGTGAGCAGCGCCAATCTGTTTTGGGTGGAGTTGTGCTCCTTCTAAAGGAGCAAATTTTGAGCCACATCCTTGGAGGGGTAATTTTAGCCTTTGGAGCCACTTACACTTATGCACATAAGTGGGTTTGCTGGGGCATGGGGCTGCATACACACAGCTGGACAGCCAACGTCTCCAGATCTCAGGGGCTCCCCACAAACCCTATAAAGGCCATAAATCTACGAAGCCATGACTTTGCTTGCTTCTAGTCACTTTTCCACCACAGGAGCAAACATGAGACATTGCCCCCCCCTCCACGTCCAAGCTAATAAGAACCACAACAAGAGACTCAGCACCAAGCCTGTTTTCCATTTAATAACGTGCATAATTTTTTATTAAAGTTACATTTCAATGAAAAAAATCTTCAGTTTCTGTACACAATAAATTAAAACTGGACTATGCCCCTGATGGGAAAGGGGTCAATGTAGATTCTGGGATGACCCTCCAAAGTCTCTCTGACGACACTTTTTCATGGTAAAGGGAAAACTGGTTCCTCTTACCCCATACAAGCTGCCATCAACAGGAACACTTGGAAGAGCACCACACACCCATTCTATATTGCAAGTATCTGTTAATACATTAAAAGGAACAGTATCGTGTGCAGGTGCTCCCTGTGGCTCCCCATGCCCAGCCAGGACCTCCTGCTGTGAGGAGGAAAAGGATCAGGCTGAATATTAAACTCCATTACCTCTCTACCCCCCCCCCCCCTTATTTGGATATGCTGACATCATCTGCCTCTCACCACCCAACAGGGCAGGGTATTTGCATGTAAAAGGAGCTGTCTCTCCTCAAATCCTTCTTGATGCAAAACTTACTTAACTGCTTAAGCAAGACACAGATGGGACCTGTGAAGGCAGTTCAAGCAGGCTGGGATGGAGGTGTATGGACCACTCAGCCCTTTCCTCTATCCAGGCTGACGCTGAACGCTTTTGGCTGTATGAGCATGTAGCTAAAGTCTAGGGAGGGAGAACTTGCAAATCCCTCAAGTAGCCACAAAGTGCTCAGCTCCTCTCTGCCAGGCAACCTGCCAGTATGGAAACCATGCAAGAGCCATACAGAGGCCCTTTTCTATTTATGCCCCCCCAAGCATCTGCCACTTTAGCCCTGCCCCTTCCCTGGCTGCTGCCAGCACCAGCCCACTTCTTAGTTCACCTCAGCTCTTCTATTCTCTTCCTGCATTTCTGCACTTCTCTCCACATGACAATCTGAGCCGACAGCATGGTCCAAGTGACTACTAACTTAACGCTGCTTGCGTATATGTGCCCAGAACAGCAGCACTGGGTAAGAATATTTCTTAAAGCATCTAATTCATTCATTTTCCCACCCCCAAATATCCACTGTTTTGAAGGCTAGAAAATGTTTAAGACAACAGTAAGTCAGAACTGTGATTCTCAAGATCCTAAGAGATGTGCTAGCCGCCAGAGAAATGTCAGGTATCTCAGGACTTTTTTCCATGCCCACATAAAATTCACTCTTAAAACACACATAAATATATGTCGAAATGACCGCTAAGCTAATGTGTTAGGGAAAGGAAGTTGGCCAACTACAGGTCACACCAAGTTCCATTGTAAGATTTGATGGTCTTCCCAAAACAGGTGTAGTGTGAAGGCAGTAGCCAGGCTCTCCCCAGCAGTTGAGGGCTAGAAATAGGCAGGAAAGGCCAATTCCAATGAATGTAAATATTAAGTAACTATTACCCAAGACATCTTAAAACAGCCTCAACATTCAGATGCAATATGCCTTTGATTCTGGGGATAAAGAAGAGAGGAAAATCTTCATAAACCTGCTCTCTTTATTAGCTTCCAGCTGGCTGGGCAAAATGGACCTTTGGTGTGAGACTGCAAGGCAGCTCCACATTTCCAGCATCAATTACCTTCCACACCTAGCATTGCAGCTACTTCCTGCTGCACAGTATTTGTTTGCATATGTCTGCAGACCACAGCCGATTCTTTTCTTGGATAATAAAAACATTCTGATGAGGAGTGACTCAAGGGCCCTTCCCAGGAGTGTCCAACACTGAAAATACTGCTCCAGAACAGTGTGATTCCACAGGAAAGGACAAGCACCTTATGGTTTAAGATGGCACCACACTGAAGCAACTCTGCAATTTTGAATGTGGCTATAAAAGGCCTGCAGCGGTAGGTGTTAAGCATGTAAGAACTGCCCTGCCCCATTAGACCAGAGGTCTGTGTAGTCCAACACACTTCTTCCGACCATGGTCAACAAGATGCTGTCAGGAAATGGACAGGCAGCACTTGATAGGAACGGAGATTCAGTAGCTCACTCCTTGTAAGTGTGGAGGTTCTATCTAGTCATCATGATTTGTAACCATGTGCTAGCTAGACCTATCCTCTGGGTCCCGGTCCCCCCATTGTAGCATCCCTTGGCAAAGGCCCTATGTTAACCAACAATGACTGGAACATAAAGGGAGCAGGAAATGTATAATTCTCCCAGGGCCAGGTAAAATAAGGAGCAGCCGATCTCTACCTTAACACTGTTCTACTCCTAGAAAACGCCTGGGGGATTACAAAAGGCTGTCCAGGATAGGTTAGCAAGAAAGGAAGGCTCAGTGCTTCTTCACATTCCCCAGGAGGAAGCCATTTCACCCCCATGGTTGATAAGTCTAAAGAAGATAATGCATCCCCCAAATTTGGTAATATCCTTATGCTACAAAGAGGTGCAACTTGTATGTCACAAACAGCCATCAAGGAAGAAAGCTCTTGATCAGCCTGCAAAGCCAATAGAGACTGATCTCATGCAGAGCAGTAGCCTCTGATGAAGAGCCCAGAAGCCGACTGCCCGCTCTTGTGTCTGCTTCTATTCCGATGTGCGCAGACAAAGCAGCGGCCTGTGCTCCCATGGAGACAAGGACAGACCCAACTCAGATGGGCTTGTAGAGGAGAGTCGTGACGTATTTCTTCTTGTAGCGATGAGTGGCACTGAGCACCATGACACCATCCTGGGAGGGAAGGAGAGAGGAGGATTTAAAGGGTTCTAGAATACCATGGCATGGTGCTCTCCACTACATGTTTTGGACTGCAAATCCTATCAGCTCCAGCCAATATGGACAATCATCAAAGATGATGGGAACTGTAGTCCCAAACATCTGGAGAGCACCAGGTATTGGCTACCCCTCACTAACTGCTTACAGGGGGCTGGTGGGGGAAGTTCTGAGCAGGGGTTAAGAGAATGAAGATATTAGAGCAGAAAGTTTGTGCTTAGAGGATTTTTACACACTTTCACCCTTCCTCTTTCCCCATCCTTAATTTTCTTCCAAAGTAAAATACTTGCAGACTCAAAGTGTAAAATGGGCTGCTCTCATCCTCATTGAGAAGAGCTGGAAGAAAGTGGGATATTTGAAAAGAGACACTTGGAGCAGAACAGCAGACAAGATATAGGCAGCCTCAGACATAAGAAGTGCTTTCCATTTCAGGTAAAGGTAAAGGACCCCTAGACGGTCAAGTCCAGTCAAAGGCGACAATGGGGTGTGGCACTCATCTCCCTTTTCAAGCCGAGGGAGCTTGTCCACAGACAGCTTTCAGGGTCAAGTGGCCAGCATGATTAAACTGCTTCTGGTACAACGGAACACTGTGACAGAAAACAGAGCGCACAGAAACGCCATTTACCTTCCCGCCGCAGTGGTACCTATTTATCTACTTGAACTGGTGTGCTTTCGAACTGCTAGGTTGGCAGAAACTGGGACAGAGCAACAGGAGCTCACCCCATCACACAGATTCAAACCATCAACCTTCCGATTGGCAGGCCTAAGAGGCTCAGTGGTTTAGTCTCTCATTTCAGCTTCTCCCCAAGAATGCTTTTTTTTCTGAACAGCTCCCTCAATCACAGCTATCTTACCCTGAATTCTAAACTGTTAAAACCCACAACTGGGCAAGGAGGTAAAGCAGTTAGCAAGATGGTGCCGTGCATGGCAGGAATGAGAGAGAAGAGAGAGAACACTCAGTACATTGCCCTCAAGCTCTGAGGAGGAGGAGCAAGAAGAGGAAGAAGCACTGCAGGCTGCCTGGTCCTGGCCTTACCTTAATTGACAAGGCATAGAGATGGTTCAGCATCACATGGTTTGGCTCAGGCAAGAGGGCTGGGTCACACTGAAACAGAAGGAAATGTCACTTTTCACCTTGCAGCCATTTCTAATTCTGTCACTGGGTGCTTACATGTACCTTAAATTTTAGCCGCATGAGGCCAATCAATGTGGGCACACCCCATAGCAGGTAGGTGTGACCTGTCCTGCTCCAGACACTCTGGGAACCACAGCTCACTTTAGAGTAAGGCTGCACCTCCCACAATGGAGCCCTCTATAAAGGTCTTGCTGTATACTGCCTTCGGATTGGTACTCACCGAAATGTTAGTATCCTTGTTAAGGATGACTTGGAGGAGATGGGGAGGAAGAATGGGCGGGGACTTGAAACGCTCCTCAGGTCGATAAACATACATTTCTTGGCCATATATTCCAGGAGGGGAGCCAGAAAGGTCTATTAAAAATAAAGATAGTATGAGAAAGGAAACCAGGAAACACCATCATTTTGGATGTTGACACCAACAGCACAAGAAAGTCACCTCGACAGGAAGTCTCTGAACTTTCTAGGGAGTCCACCTTTAAAGCATCAAACACTTCGAAGTCAGACTTCCTGACATGAATCAGATTGTTAATTGTCCCCATCTGACTGGTGACCACTGGCTGAAAAACAAGACAGAGGTACATGCCACAGCCGCAGGTCAAATCCCCACCCTTCCCAACATATATATGCAGAGAACAAAGTCACATCCCAGGTGAAGCAAGGAGAACTGTGTAGAGGAGGTTAAACACAGCTACAAAAAAGGAAGACTTAAAAATCCTCAGTAGTGGTAGATGTAACATATAAGCAATGCAGAACACAAGGTCTCACTATTCAATTAAAACCTACGAACTACATCGAAAAGCCAGTCAGAATATGTACTAGGGGAGCAGTACACAAATTCAGAAGCACAGCTAAGTGCCAGGGATTCTACCCTGAAAAAAGAAAAAGAGAAGAAATCATAGAAGCAGTCAAAATAATCCAGCAAAACTGGAAGGAAAGCCAGGGGCCTTGTCATGGGCAATTTTAGCCAGAAGGTCCTGCTTGCCTCTTCTAACTATCAGAAGCTACAGAGTGCACTGATAGTTAACCCAGGGATGTAGCCTGCAGCATGTGACCCTGGCTCAGAGAACTAAGCTGACAGGGCAGGCAACAAGGTCAAGCCCAGCCCACCTGAAAATGTACGGGGGTGTGTGTGCAGGACCTCTCAGCAATATGACACAGACACATGGAAGAAAAGGAGTTACCTCGGAGGGATCATGAACCCACTGGCCATCCACAAAGAACTTGTACTGGTGCTCCCCTTCAGGAAGGTCCAGAATAGCGACAAAGTCATTGTGGCTAAAAGGAGAGGGAGCAATTATCCACAGTGAGAGGCAACAGCTTAGAGCCTCATCCATCCACTCACAGCACCATCTGCCCACTCATGTATCAACTATGGTTCTATCCTGCCCCATAACCATAAAGCTCCAGGCGGCATACATAATCTTTTAAAAACACAACAGAAATAAAAATAGTCAATATACGATGGAGGATGAATGACACCTTGTTTAGAGATCAAGAGGTGATTAAGAAGGCCCAAAAGACTTTGAGAGACTACTTTGAGATAAATTTGAATACAGCTGTAGAAAAAAGAATAATCTGGGACGCAAGTAAAGCAGTTATGAGGGGCTTCCTGATTCAACAGAATTCAGTTAAGAAGAGGGCCCAAAATGTAAAGAAAGAAAATTTTTTGGAAAAAATAAAGGAGGGCGAGAAGAAACTGAGAGTGAAGCCCAACTCACAAGAGATTCTGAGGGAAATAAAATTGCATCAAGTGCAGTATATGAAATTGATAAATCAAGAAGTGGAATGGAAAATTAAACAAATGAGACAAAAGACTTTTGAATCGGCAAATAAATGTGGGAAACTGCTGGCTTGGCAGTTGAAGAAACGACAAAAACTCAATACTATTACTAATTTGGAAGTGGAAGGGGAAAATATCCAGAATCCAGAAGAAATTAGGAAATGCTTCCAGAGATATTTTAAACAATTATATACACAAGGGCCTCAGAAAGAATTTGAAATAGAGCAATTTCTGAAAACCAATGGATTACAAAAAATTTCTCAGGATAATAAGATATTGCTGAATTATAAAATTACAGAACAGGAGGTTGAAGGTGCCATTCAGAATATGCAGCTGGGAAAATCTCCAGGACCGGACGGTTTAACCTCAAAATATTACAGAACCCTGAAAGACTGGTTAATTCGACCATTAACTGAGGTTTGCAATGAAATTTTAGAGGGGAAAAGAGCGCCAGAGTCGTGGAAGGACGCATTTATTACACTTATACCAAAGTCTGAGACTGAAAAGACACAGCTTAAGAACTATCGGCCCATATCCCTGTTAAATGTAGATTACAAAATTTTTGCTGACATTTTAGCAAAAAGGCTTAAAAAAGTGCTAAAAGAAGTGATTCACAAGGACCAAGCTGGCTTTCTTCCAGATAGACATCTTTCGGATAACACAAGGAATATAATTGATATTCTGGAGAAGCTGCAAGAGGAGATTAACACTAAAGCAGTTCTGATTTTTGTGGATGCAGAGAAAGCCTTTGATAACATTTCCTGGAGTTTTATGAAGAAAAATCTCCAGGGGATGGGGGTAGGCCAAGAGTTTGAAAATGGTATAAATGCAATTTATTCAGAACAAAAAGCTAAATTAATAGTTAATAATGTGATAACAGAGGAAATTAAGATAGAGAAAGGGACACGACAAGGCTGCCCAATTTCCCCATTACTTTTTATTTCTGTTCTGGAGGTTCTGTTAAATATGATAAGAAGGGACCATTTGATTAAGGGTATAACGGTCGGAGTGAAACAATATAAACTGAAAGCATTTGCGGATGACCTTACAGGAGCCAGAATCTAGTACGAAAAGAGCATTAGAACTGATTCAAGAGTTTGGTCAGGTGGCAGGTTTTAAGCTGAATAAGTTTAAAACTAAAGTACTTGAGAAGAATTTAACACCGATTGAAAAAGAGAGGTTTCAGAATGAGACAGGTTTAACAGTGGTAAAAAAGTGAAATACTTGGGGATTCATATGACAGCTAAAAATGGGAATTTATTTAAAGACAATTATGAAAAGTGTTGGTCGGACATTAAAAAGGATTTAGAAATATGGACAAATTTGAAGCTTTCCTTGTTAGGTCGAATTGCTGTCATCAAGATGAATGTATTGCCAAGAATGCTGTTTTTGTTTCAATCGATACAAATAATAGACAAAATGGATTGTTTTAAGAAGTGGCAGAGAGATATCTCTAAGTTTGTCTGGCAGGGCAAGAGGCCCAGGATAAAACTTAAAATATTGACTGATGCTAAAGAAAGAGGGGGATTTGCCCTGCCAGACCTTAAACTTTATTATGAATCAGCAGCTTTCTGCTGGTTGAAGGATTGGTTACTTCTGGAAAATACTGATGTCTTGGACTTAGAAAGTTTCAATAATGTGTTTGGGTGGCATGCATATTTGTGGTATGACAAGGTTAAAGCTCACAAAGTATTTAAAAACCATATTGTCAGGAAAGCATTGTTCAATGTCTGGATAAGATATAAAGACTTATTGGAGAATAAAACCCCAAGGTGGCTATCACCAATGGAGGCAAAGGCTCTGAAAAAGCCCAATATGGAGGCCAAGTGGCCAAAATATTGGGAGATCTTGGAACAAGAAGGAGATAAATTCAAACTGCAGAGTTTTGAGAAACTAAAAGATAGAGTGCGAGACTGGTTGCATTATTACCAAATAAGAGAGGTCTATAATTTGGATAGAAAAATTGGCTTCCAGGTGGAAAAATCAAAGTTGGAAATAGAACTGCTAGATTCCAAAACTAAAACACTTTCAAGAATGTATAACTTGCTGCTAAAATGGAATACTCAGGATGAAACGGTAAAATCTGCTATGATTAAATGGGCACAGGATGTTGGACATAACATCATGTTTGCTGACTGGGAACGGTTATGGACCACAGGTACGAAGTTTACAGCATGTAATGCTTTAAAAGAGAATATAATGAAAATGGTGTACAGGTGGTACATGACCCCAGTCAAGCTTGCAAAAATCTACCATCTGCCCGATAATAAATGTTGGAAATGTAATGAAACTGAAGGTACATTCTTTCACCTTTGGTGGACGTGCCCAAAGATTAAGGCCTTCTGGGAAATGATATATAATGAGTTGAAAAAGGTATTTAAGTATACCTTCTTAAAGAAACCAGAGGCCTTCCTCCTGGGCATTGTTGGCCAATTGGTGCCAAAGAAAGATAGAACTTTCTTTATGTATGCAACAGCAGCAGCAAGGATACTTATCGCAAAGTATTGGAAGACACAAGACTTACCCACTCTGGAAGAATGGCAGATGAAGGTAATCGATTATATGGAATTGGCGGAAATGACTGGCAGAATCCGTGACCAGGGAGAAGAGTCGGTGGAAGAAGATTGGAAGAAATTTAAAGACTATTTACAGAAATACTATAAAATTAATGAATGTTAAATTGAGGTCTGATTGAAAATAACTGGTATTGGCAAAAGCCTTGCGTTTAAGAGCATGGAATATTTGATTGATAAGGTTGTAAAAATATCTATTTATAAATAGATTAAGTTTTTTGAGTTAAGATAAAGGAAGGAGGGTAAGGATTTGCTGAAAGGAGTTTTTAAATGGAAATACAAGTGGGGAGGTGCGGGGAAGTCAAAGAACTAAGGAAAGATAAGAAGGTTAAATGAAAGTATAAATTTTTAAATTTTTCTGTTTTTTCTTTCTTATGGTTATTGTTATCTTTTGTTTTCTTTTTGTCATTGTTATTGTTGTTTTTTGTCTTTGGAATTTTTGTATTTTTTATTTTTTTTGTAAAACCAATAAATATTATATTAAAAAAAAAAAAATAGTCAATATAAAACACATTACGTATTACTTTCAAAAATGGAGAAATAAAATCTATTAGAAGCCCCCCAAAAGCTTGCAAAAAAACCAAACGGACAACTTAGAAAACTAATCAAACTACTCAAAGTATAAGTGAGCTACATTGTGCCAGAATTTACAGGGAGCCCTGAAAAGAACAGCAAAGTACTAAAGCTGCAATTGTCATGTACTGTCAAATGCCACAGCAATACTGGCACGAGACTGGGTTACCTGGAAGAACACAGAGCCACCACACAGAGCTCCCTGAATCTTAAGATCCCCTTTGGGGGCCCAATTGTGTATCCTGTTGTCAAGTGAAAAGAGGAGATGGTCACAAAGGAGATGGCCTACTCAATGATGGAGCCCGTTAGGGAACAGCCTTTCCAGAGCTCACATGGTGCCTTCTTTATAGTTTTTCAGTGCCACATTAAAACTTTTTAATCACATTTAAACTCCTATTTCAAAGCAACCCCGTGGTCTTTACTGTTTTAATGTTGCTTTAGAGAAACCTTATGTCCTCATTCTTTCAGGGTGGTTTTTAAGGTGAGCGGTTGGCACTGTGGTTCATCCCTCTGCACGCTTTACCCATCAAGTTCAAGGGACCTCCAATGTATGCCAGCTTTCTCTCGAGTCTTGTTCTCTGTACAATATTGTATGAAATAGACCAGTAAAATTTCCAAATTACTGTAAGGTCTGGAATTTATTAGAAATCCCTTGCCTTCCCTTTTAGGGGCAGGGAGGGAGGGAGGCTTAAATGAGAACAGCCTGTCCTGCCATTATCTTGGTGCTCTTACAACCTGTGACAGCTGGGGAAGCGTCTCAGTTGCAGTAAATAGATCCAAGTAAAAGAAGTTAAAGTTAAGCACCTGTGAGGAAAGGTTAGTCCCACCCACTAATTAGCATTTAATTAATCATCACCTGAAGCTGAAACAGCAGCACAGGGTGTTGCATGCCAGAACCTAAATCTCACAAGGGTAATCCTTTAACTGTAGCTTTCAGTTCAGGAGCTGAATGCCCATGAGAGGAAATCTTCTAGAAAGCAAAGAGTTCTAGCTGGCAGCTCTACTCTAGCAGGGAAGCCTAGAGTGGTTGTAGTAAACCTCGACCAGACACACAGATTGCACTCAAGTTTGGAAAGGACTAAAGTTGTACGTTTTACCAAGCCCACAATGCCTAGATCAGGCATCCCCAAACTAAGGTCCACGGGCCGCAGACCCCGTCTCCCAATTGCAGCCTCCTCACGCACCACCCAGGCATCTCCCCGCCCACCTCCCTGCCCCAGAGGCCTGCGGTGCATAGTTGGCAGCCACTCCTGCCTGCCTGCCTGAGCCGCCGCCCACTGTGGGGCGCAGAGGCTGAGAGGGCAGCCTTGAGGGGGGAACAGTGTCTCTACCAGGGTCTGAGGCGCCTGAGAAGCGAGGAAGGAGGGGAGAAAGGCCTAACCCTAAGCCAAATGCTGACAAAGTATTCAGAACACTGCCCAGGAGTATTCTGCGAGAAAATCGGAGACGAAGGGAGCAGGCCCAGGTCAGCGCCACATCCCTTCCGGGGTGGACAAAGCGAGCAGGGCCTGGCCCGCATGAGGGCCTTGCTGGCGATGCAGCGCACCACACCCTCGCCTCCTAGGGTACCCACCTCGCCCCCCCCGGGCCCAGTACTGACTCCAATCCCCTGATCTGGCACACCTGCAATGCCGCGAGTTTGTGATGTGCCAGAGGAGTTGCCCCCGCAGTGAGTCGGGAGTCGTGGGGACAGGTGACACGCAGGCAAGCTGGCATGTGGGGATTTGGTGTTGGAGAACAGGCGTGCAAGATGGGGGGGGTTAGGGAGAAACACGGGCAAGTTGGGTCGTGAGGATGGGGCTTAAGGATTAGGGAAGGTTAGAGAAGCACATGCATAGGCTGGGTTGTGGGGAAGGGGGTTAGGGAGACATGTATAAACTGGATTGTGGGGATGGGGGCATGGAAGGCCTGCATGTAGACTGGGCCATGGGGGTTAGGGAGATCCCTGTGTAGGCTGGGTTGTAGGGACGAGCATTAGCAATACTTCCCAATTGAAATACTTATAAGTTTATGTTGATTAAAATCATTCATTTTAAATATTGTATTGTTTTTCCTGTTTTTGTGCACTACAAATAAAATATGTGCAGTGTGCATAGGAATTCATTCATATTTTTTTCAAATTATAGTCCGGCCCCCAACAGTGTCTGAGGGAAAGTGAACCGGCCCCCTGTTTTAAAATTTGGGGCCCCCTGGCCTAGATAGTGGACGAATCTGCTCCTAAACAAAATATAGACTTCATCTTCAGTTCAAGCTCAGTCTATGCCCTGTTTAGGTTAAAAGCAGGATTCATAAACTAAAGAGGTGGTGTAGATCTCAGTTCCATTTTTTAAAAACCAGCTTCTTCAGTTTTCAAAAAAGGGCATGTTGAAGTAGGCTTAAAGTGAGAGAGAGTCCCCCTGTGTTCCTGGGGAGGCTACATCTGACTACATCTTCTTCTCAATCATTGTTTCCTTTACAAAATCAAGATGCTACTGCCCTACCCTGCCAGGATTAATGATACGTTTTATGTGAAGCATTTCGAACCTTTGCAATATGCCATGTACGACACGGGGCCATCACACACCAAAGTCAGGCCTTCAGAGCATCCATCGCAGCAGAGCACAATGCTTTGCACCGGCTGAGCCATCAAGCCCTAACAATCCTATGATGCGCATGGATGTATGTAAGCAGTCCCCGACAGCCTTTCATTCCCAGACCCCCATTGCTCTTCTGGCCGGTGTTTGCTCTGTGTAACAACCTCTCCTCCCCGACACACAGGCAGAGCAGCATTTCCGCCAAGGCACCTTTTAATGAGAGGGATCTTGGCACTCCAGTTGTTGAAGGATCCAGAGATGAAGACTTCCTTCCCTCCCTCCGTCCATCGTATGACGGTGGGACGAGCCTGCTGGGCTGGCTTGATGGACTCGTCCAAGTCATGGTGCCAAGACACAAAACCTTTATCCCCGGGAAGCTGCAGGAGGAAAACAAGAGCTGCATCTAGCTCTCCCCCAGCGCCCAGGGCCAAGGGCGCTCTGAAGCCCGACCCCTCCAGCCCCCGGGAGGCGGCCCTTTGGATTCAGCTGGGGGGGCACTATGGCGGGGTCCCCCGTGAGGCCTCCCTCGGAGCAGCTGGAACCCCCCCCCCGCTCCACACGCTCCCCAGCCGGGTCTCTAGTCGGGGGGGGGGCAGAAGGCAAGACGCCTCCTCGCCCCCCCCCGCCGCCGCGGGTCCTCGAGGGCTACCTTGGCGTCGGGGGCGCTGAAGAGGGCGGGGTCGTCGCTGCTGCCCACCATGATCTTGTGGGGAGGGGGCTCCTTGGCCGGCGGAGCCACCCCGGAGCCCTCCGAGCGGGGCGCCTTGCTGCCCGGACGCTCTCCGGACCCGCGCTCGCTCGCCGTGTTGCCCATGGCCGGGGGGCGAAGGGGGTCCCGCGGGCAGGAGGAGGAGGAGGAGGCGGCCGCTGCTGCTGCCGCCGCCCTTCGCCCAGGGCCTCCTCTCCGGCGCCCCTGGCGCCCTCTCCCCGGCCCGGCGGGCCCCCGTCAAAATGGCGGCGCCCGAGGAGCGCATGCGCCCGCGCCGAGGCCCCACGGGAGGGAGGGAGCCTCCGGCGGGCTGCTTTCTCCTCCCGAGGAGGCCCGCCTCGCCTTCCGCGCGCGCGCGCCCCGGCGGGCAGGAGGGCTGTGCCGGCCAGGATGGGCCTCTGGGACGGAGGCCGAGCGGGAGAGGCCCGAGGGGAGCCGGAAAGCTGCGCCAGCCGTAGGAAGCCCCTCAAGGCGCTGGTCCTCATTGCGCCGCTGCTTCTGCCGCCGGGAGAAAACGGGGGCGGGGGGGGGTGAGAAGAAGGAAGATTAAGGAGTTGAGGAGAGTGAGAAAGTCCGGAGGAGGTGTGAAGAAGCGACAAGGGAAACTGGGCGGCCCCACTGCCAGCCCTCGCAAGAGAGAGCCGAGGCCCCGGCGAGCAGCTCCGGCGAGGGACGGGGCTCGGGGAGGCGGCGAGAGGAGGAGCGGCCCCCGCCCTGCTCGAGCCGGAGAGGCGACTCGGCCGCTGCTGCTGCTGCTGCTGCTGCTGCTCCTCCTCTGCGCCTCTTTCCCCGGGATGCAGAAAGGGCCCTGCTGGACGTTTCTGTTCCTTCGTGCGCCCGCATTCACCTGCTGCTTCCCTCCGTTCAGCCGCTTGCAGAACCCTTTGGGCTTTAAGCCACACTTTCAATATGCACTGTTAACATTTATTGGTCAGCCAAAGACAGGTTATAGCCAAAAGGCAAATAAAAAGCAAACAGGTTTTAGCAAACAAGCAAAGAACAGCACGATCAAACACATGTAATAAAACACGTACAATAATATGTAAAACCGTATCTCGGGTTGCGAGGCCAGAGTCCTAGGCATTCTCCAGTTGGGAGCCTTTTACCACAAACTTAGAAGGCTAAGCCAGGCTAGAAAACAGATGTTTAATTTATTCAATGTCACTGAGGTTGGTGATCGGCTTTAATAATAATAAACATTTTGTCCTTGGAATTTCATATTACTTGCAATATAGCATAGAGTATATAATGTCCTCTCTTATCTGGCATCCACAGATGCAAAAGCACTGTTCTCTAGGACTTTACTTCTAATGCTCATCCAGAAAGTTGGCTTTCATTGCCTGAAACCTAGAAATTCCCTACAAAAGAAGGGGGAAGTAACCACAGGCAAGTATTTCTCTAGACTGAACTGGGTTTTGATGTGGGCCCAGTCCTGCAAGTAATTCCTGCAGGTGCTCTTGGATGTTTCCTTGGCTAGACTGCATATTGGCTACTAAAGGAGCTGTGGGATCAAAACTAAATTTCCACAGCAATGGATTACTGCTGGCCACCCACGTATCTTTGGAGGGCACTCTGAGCTGATCTACACAGAGCTTGACCAGATCATTTACTATGTGGAAGGAAAACATAGTCCTCTGGATATAACACTGTTGGCTTTAATCCTGCTTCCGCTCGTACCTGGTGGAAGGCGCAGTAGGATTCGGATTAATTTACTCTGCACTGCCTGACTTTTTCATCTGGCTGTTTACAGCCACCCTAATTCAGAATGAAGTTCAATTGCCAGAAGATTTCCAAGTTACATATTGACTCTAGGTTGTCTTTTAGCAATCTTTTTTCATGCCCTGAATTATAAAGTTCAAAGGAAAATGTAGTTGTGCATTTTCCTACATCAGCAGGATATTAAACAAGATCGTCTTTGAGGTCCCTTCCTTCCAGCTCTATGATTCTGTGAAGCATTGATTCTGCTTCTGAAGGGCTGTAAATCTTATTTAGGGTTGCAATCAATTTATTTTTTAACAAAATTAACAAAATTACAACCCACACTTTAAAAATATTGAGGGATAAAAAGGTAAGGTATAATTGAATTGACTGACAAATTTGAATAACATTTAATATACATATAATTGTATGTTTGGCACAAAACCTGATTGGTCCACATGAATTAATTTAATTATAGTATTAAAATGTTTTGTGAAATTAGGTTTTATACTTGTGATTAAGAAGAGCAATTGGACAATAGGGTTCCTTAAAAATGTTTTTAAAATATTTGGGAATAACTGCAATCCAGGAGAGTTTGCAGGTGTCGGGGGGAGGAGGTTACCGTCTAAAATTCCATTGAAAGGTCTGTGCAAAATAGGGATTGAAGTATCTTTGAAACATTTATAAATTTCATTAGTGAAGCTATCAGATCCTCAGGATTTATTTGTTTTGAGGGATTTATGATCAGTTTCAGCCAATTCCTCTTTCTATTAAACAATGTTGTTCTTCAGCATTTAAAAATAAGCAAAAATTGCAGCCAAGAGAGCCACAAGGCCAACCAGCTTGATCCACAGGGGCACGAAGGTGTTGCTGCTTGAATTGTCAACAGGCCTTGTTCTCAAGGGTTTCAGGATCCGGTTGTGTTGCGTCAAGATGGCTTTCCTGGCTCCATCCCATTTCCCTGGTCCTTCGAGGCGGTACTGATAGGGTGTGCATGGCCCAAACAAAAGCTCCCAGGCCAGTTTGGGGTCAGAAAGAAACAGAGGCCATACACTGGGCTTGACCCCCACCAGACAAGCCAATTCATCCATGTACTCAATATAGTCCACTTGGATGGTGTGGCGTTGGCTCTTCACATACCTGGCATGGAAGGGGGAAGAGACAAATATAGTTTACTTTGCTATTCATTCAATCAGTCACATTTATAACCCACCCTTCCTCCCCATGGGGAGCCCAGGGTGGCTCACAACAATAAAATTACATAAACCGATTCAAAACAATATTACAAGCAGCAGTTAAAACCAACAGTATAAAAAAGTGATAAAACTATCCGCCCCAAACTTGGATGAGGGAGTTTGATAGCCAGCATGCTGCTTCTGAGACTGTCCTAACCCGCATCCCAGCAGAAGTGGTTAGGGGGCAGGGAGTGGCACATTCCTCTTTCACCTCAGGTGCTCCTGGGCAAGACCAGGCGTAGGGCCTTTCCCCCAAATCACCAACTTCAGGATGGAAGCTGCTTGGCTCCCAAGTGATTTAGGGCTTTGCATCCTAGTACTCCCACCTTGAACTGGGCCCAGTAGCTCACAGGCAGCCACTGCAGTGCCCCAAGATTAAGGATAGTGTGGTGGTTGTTTCTTGCTGCCCCATACAGTGAGCAAGCAGCCATGGTCTGCACTAGCTTTGAGATGCTCTTCAAAGGAAGGCCTTTGTAGAGAGCATTGCAGTTACTTACCTTGGAGGCAGGTACAAGAGCATGGGTAGGTGGGAAGGTCTTCACCTTGAGAATGACATGAGCTCTGAGCATAGGAGGCCCAGGTGAGAGCTGGGAAGGAAGGTTGCTACAAGGCTCTACCATCCAATGCATGCCAGTTAATTGTAGCGTGCTTCTGCAGAAATAATGATTCCCCCTCTCCCAGGGGTATATACAGTGGTGCCTCGCAAGACGAAAAGAATCCGTTCTGGGAGTCTCTTCGTCTAGCGGTTTTTTCGTCTTGCGAAGCAAGCCCATTGATGGGATTCGCGGATTAGCGCTATTAGCGCTTTTAGCGGCTTTTAGCGGCTTTTAGCAGCTTATCAGCTTATCGGATAAGCAGATAAGCGGCTTAGCGACTTAGAAAAAGAGGGGGGAAAGGAAAAAAAAAAACCAGGAACTCGCAAGACATTTTCGTCTTGCGAAGCAAGCCCATAGCAGATTCGTTTTGCGAGGCACCTCCAAAACGGAAAACTCTTTCGTCTAGCGAGTTTTCCGTCTTGCGAGGCATTCGTCTTGCGGGGCACCACTGTACTGCCATTTTTTATGTTGAGTATTGTTCTCCTACTTAGTTTTAAGCTGTTAAAATAGATTAGCTTATTTGTATTGTTACCTAGTAGGACATGCATTTATGTTCTGCCTTTATTGATAGGATGATTGTTTTCAATTGCTCTTAATATGTATTTTTAATTATATTATTGTTCATATGTCGTAAGATAGTTTGGACACAGTTTTGTGGCCTACAAATAAACAGATGACTATGATAGCAACGTTTCAGAGCAGAAACTGGAGTCCTTGTCATGGGTCACTATAACCCTCTCAGGGCTTTGGCTTAGTACAGAATCTACACCCAGTGGCGTCGCAACGGGGGGAGGGCCAGTACGCCCTGGGTTCCATGCCTGCGAGGGTGACAAGAAGTCACATTGCGGGGGCTGGTGGTGCCATGAGCAGCCACCGCAGCCGCCTTTGGAGGATCCTCCGTTCGTGGCTGCAGCCATGAGACGAGGATCCTGGCGCCGGCAGCAAACTGCTAAGTTTGCTGCACAGTGCATGTGCAGCGTCACATGCATGCGTCGTACGTAGCTACGAGCCCTTAGTTATCATATTTCACAATAGGCCAAATGTGCTGGGGCAGGGTAGGCCCACTTAATGAATTTCATTTTTAATTAATACTGAGGTCTTGTCCACAAGGGCAGCAAAGCAGTCTAAATATCTCTGTTATTATTTTGGTATGTACTGCAGTTAGAATCTCCTCTGAACTGAGTTCAAATTCAAAGAAGCCTTATGCAAGCAGCAATCCATGGAAATAAACACAATATTGTTTGGGCCACCGGAAACAAAACACTCAGATGAAAAGCAAATGGAAGTAGGGAGATGAAAGCTAGCCACAAAACCACCACCAAGCCAGTCCCCCAGCCCCAGCCCCACCATAAGAATATACTAGCAAGCCCCCACACCAGCAGTGACCAGAGTTATATACTGGGCTCGTTTTACTTACTGGATCTTCCACAGAATGGGTAGGCTCGATTAAATGAATAAAAACTACAGGCTGACATTTTTATGACAACAATATCATGCAGATAATGCAAAAAAACACCCCCCCCAAAAAAACCCACAACCACCCACCCAAAAACATGCATGCATGAGTAGCTCCAATTCAAGAGTGAACTCCCACCTTGAGGCACCTCAGCAATAAGTGCAGTTGTAGGAAGTGGCAACACTACAAGACTAGCCTACCTGGTAACCATTCAAGCTAAGCCTGTCATTTACCGTTTAGCCATTGCTGCTGACGTCCTGGTGATATCCGACATCATCCCACTTATTGATGGTATCTTAGCAAGTCCTAGAAAAGAGAGGCAAAAGGGAAGAGGCAACGTTTTGAGGACCTGGATAAAGGCAGCTGGAAAATGTAATCAAGGGAGGCAAGAGGCCCTTTCTGGAAAGTCCTGAGGTCTCCTGCAACAAACCAGAATTGCTCCATCCTAGTCAGCAGGAATTCTCTTTTCATTTGAGAAGTATCAGCCTAGATTCCCTGTGTGCATAACTAAAGCTGATATTTCTGAGCTTTCAGATAGATAAGGGGAGTTGGAATGCTGCTAGGTTTCAGGGTCCCCAAGAAAATGTTACCTTCCCACCCCAATTTCTCTCCCCCCTTCCAGCCCCACTTAACATCCTGGTAATAAAGCAGGTGGGAGAGAATGAGTATTTTTCCTTTCACTCATCAGAAAGAAAAAGTGTCAAATATCACACACCCACACCCATTATTACCATGCAGGGGGAAGGAAGACTTCCCTTTTCCGAAAGCTTTCTGGAAAACCTCTTAAAGAGATTGTTGACACATTGCTTCAAGGAGGCAAGAGGGTTGCTTTGCTTTCTTATTTTTAAATGAGCTGTTGGAGCCCCTTCATTTTAAGGACATAAAAGAAAATAAAAAACTCTCAGTTATTGCATAAAGTTAAGGTGGCAGCAAGCTCCGCCACCCCTCTCTCCAAACCTCTGGCCCCTAGGAGCCTCTCTGGGCCAGGCAGCACCCCATAGCAGTGCCCTCAAATCTGTCCCCCGAAATGTCACGGAGGGAAGCTCAAATAAAGGAGGTGGCTCCATGGTCAGCTCCCGTGAAGAGATACTACTCCCTCATCATTCAGCAAGGTCAAGTGACAGTAAATAGACCTGGTGCCATGAAATTAACACCTGCCATATCCAGACTTTCCAAATTTGCCAGTATAGCTCATTCCTTCAAACACAGGATTCCTGAGATCACCAGCAGCATGAAATGGAGCAGTTTGAAAGCTCTTACCCTTAAACACACGGACTGCCCAGCGAGCCTGCAGCTCTGAAATGGGCATGATGGCACCCAGGGGTTGCACAAGGCCAATGATTGCTAGAGTAGGCTGCTCCAAGTGTGGGGGGAAGACAAATTTATACAGGGCGGTCTGGTTCTCAATGACTCTCACAGAGTTTCCCAGGAAGGGAAAAGAGAAACTGTATCCTGTGGCAAAGACAACAAAATCGATATCATCTTCCTTAGAGCCATCTTCAAAGACAACAGCAGTTTCAGTAAATTCACAGATGTTTGGTTTCACCAGCACCTTCCCTGAAATGATGCAGTTTGGAAGCTCATCGTTGACAGTTGGATGTTGGCTGAAAACCCTGAAAGATACAAAAACACACAGGGTGGAAGTCAGTGTCATGGTCTTCCAGTCGTTCCATCGGCAGAAGCATTTCAGCTTGTCAGAGAGAGGCTTGCTCCCTGCCACATGCTGCTCTGGGACTTCTCCCAACCTCAAGCCAATTGCAGGGGCACATGGCGGTCGGAGCGGGGAAAGCCGTTGTGCAAGCAAAAGGAAAGGCTTCTACTGACAGTGTTGGCTAGGTGAATTCTCAAAATAGCTATTTAATATTATAATTATTATTATTATTTAAAAAGCATTTCTAAACTGTATAATATTTTCAAAATATGTAAGCAGTGCAAAGACTAAAGATCAACAACAAATTAAAATCTTAAAATGGTATTATTATTATTATTATTATTATTATTATTATTATTATTCCTATACCACCCTTCATGAAAATCATAGGGTCATTTACAATTTAAAATATACAAAAAATATATAGCACAAAAATATATAGCATAATAACAAAAAAAACCCATACTGCCCTCTATATTTTAAAACCGTTTGTTTAATTAGCCTGGAAGAGGAGGAATGTTTTTGCCTGGTGCCTAATTAACATATGAAGCAAGGGGCATGCATAATCTAAACCAGGGATAGGGAACCTCAGGTGATGTTGGATCCCACAGCTTCAGACAGCATGGCTAATGGTCAAGGATGCAATTCTATAAACTATATAAATACATATATAAATATAATATAGCTCTTAAAAATAAGTTATTCCAATAAGAGCAGCACAGCAGCAGCCCTTTCATTGAAAGCAGTCAGTTCCCAAAGTCTGATGGAACAAGGTGGTCACATGCCAGCAGAAGGACAACAAAGAGGGAGCCAGTCTAGGAGCAGCCACATATTGTAGTGCATTATTTTTAGCTGTTATGTCTATTATCCATAAATTGTCCTCGGTGGTGGTGGTGGTGGTGGTGATTATTATTATTATTATTATTATTATTATTATTATTATTATTTATACCCCGCCCATCTGGCTGGGTTTCCCCAGCTGCTCTGGGCAGCTTCCAACAAGAGATTAAAAATACATTCAAACATCAGTCATTGAAAACTTCCCTAAACAGGGCTGCCTTCAGATGTCTTCTAAACGTCAGATAGTTCTTTATTTCTTTGACACCTGACATTTTCTGGAAAATGCAGTACTGTACAGTCGTACCTTGGAAGTCAAACGGAATCCGTTCTGGATGTATAGATATACATTGACTAATTAGCATATTGCTGAGCCATACCTGTGTTTAGGTTTCAGGCCATAATGAGAATGGTTGAATCTTGCATTTAAACGACTCTCCAACCAGTGATTCAGCATGGACATGGTTGCGCACTTCTTCCGTAACATGTTAAACCGAGTAGAAAGTACCACATCTGCTGGATAGCCTCCTTCCCCAACACGATTCAGTATCCATGCACCTCGGCGAGTGCTGATAAAGACCTGGGTATGGGAAGACAATTATTTAACTAAGATGTCCATGTGATCTGTTCTTCATGAAGTTCCTTCTTCCACCTGCAACGTTCCCCAAAACTGCAGAACATTTTAGTTGGACATCACCTGTGAGATAGATGAAAATATCTGGACGCAGAGAGCAGAGGGTGCAGACCCTCCAAGTGTCCCTATTTTCCAGGGACAGTCCTGGATTTACAGAGCCATCCTAGTTTCTGATTTGATGCCAGAATGTCCCGCTTTTCCTTAGAACGCGCCTACTTTCATTGGAGCCAAGGAGATGAGTAACTATACAATATTATGCATTCAAGTCTATGAGTTATTGTGTATCCAGAATGTTGCAAAGTAGTTTAATATATTTGTTACTGAGTAAGCATCCGACAGCCAGACAGATACCGTGAATAAGTTATCAAGCTTCTTGAAACCACATTTAAATTGACAGTATCTGTTTGGCTGTCGGATGTTTATTCAGTAATGAACTACTTTGCAAAATTATGAATGCACAATTAACCCACATTAACTAACTGCCTATGCAATGAATGTTTTAGGCTGTCATATAGAAAACAGGGTAAAACGCATTTTTAATGAACAAAAAAATAATGGCTACAAATTAAATACACTAAAATCTTCATCAAATGTGTAATCTATGGAAGAAACGACAAACAAATTTAAAATTTGGGTGATAACTTAAAAGCTCTTTTAAAAAGGCTTCATTGCAATTTTGAGAAAGAAAGCAAAAGGTTAGAATCGTAGAAACGAGTTGGAAGGGACCCTGAGGGTCATCTAGTCCAACCCCCTGAATTGCTAGCTTAAAAATTAAATAAATTATGAAGTTGAAGCTAAACAACTTATTACTTATTCAGAGGATCCGTCTGGGGATCTGAGTCAGAAAATAACAATGGGTAACAAAATTAATTAGCATTTGCACGTAAAAGGAAGTCACAGATATATGGCTTAACTTGGAGAAAACCATATCTAAAGACAAAACAGTATGAATTTAGTTAATGAATGTGCAAATGATAGAAGCAGTGCTGGTATCTCAATGCCACAAGGTTGGACTGGACGACCCTTGCGGTCCCTTCCAACTCCACGATTTTGGGATTCTGTGTATGTGATCATCAGCCCTGGAATTTATTTTCAGACATTTGTGCAGCAATATTTAAGAATAGTGCCAACGCATGTGCAAAGTGCCTTCGTCACTAAAAGTGTGACAATACACAGAATTAAAGAGCAGGTATTACAGGGAACATGATATCTTCCTTTGGGAGGTGGCGTGGGAACACTGCTTGAAGCCAAGTACTGCCCCAATTTTGTCTGATATCAGTTTTGGGCCCCAGCTGAAGGGGCCTCAGACACGAGACCCCCACCCCCCACCCCATGAACCAGTTGAAAATTGCTGAGGGCCTTCCTTGATGGACTAGTTATTTTTCTGCGTGTTGTAGCAATTACAATGCATTGTGCTAGATGCCTTTATTTATTAAATATTAAGATATTACAAATCTAAGAAATAAAGAAGGCAAAGAAATACAATTAAAACTCAGTTTGAGTATTTAATGTACAGGCAGCCCCTGTTGATGTGTGTTCGGTGCATGTGCAACAGTATATATGCTTATTGTGCCACCAAACCAGGAAGTGACCTGAAAACGTCTTAAAGATGTCATTGAAACATCACTAAAAGGGTGGAAAGGGGGCAGGTGGGGGACTTGCGGGCATTTTCAGTCGGTTTCAATTTTACATGGTTTCACTGATGTGTGCGGCACCTTGGGACGTTGTCAACCCTGCGTAAACGGGGAGCTGCCCGTAATGTATGTAGGGTCTCCTGGCTTCAACCACAAATCCACAGATATGCTGTGGACCACCTGAATGAAGCTCATGGAGCACAGTTTGGGAGCCCCCCTGCTCTAAAAATCCTCTCCTTACCAGCAAGTGAAGCCAGCAAGTGAAAAGAGCTTGAATCCAAGCACCTCCTCCCTCTTCCCAGAGCCTATCCTTTGGGCATCCTTTTTGCAACTACCCACTTTCCCCTGGCAGCATGAGTGACAATTGAGACATCATCTGCCCGCCTTCCACAGCCTCTCCTTCCAACCAGCTAGAGCTCTCTCTCTCCAGGGATGCTGTTCCATGCCTTCTGCACCTCCCAGGGGTCCCTAGAGATGGGGGCCTGCCTCAGTGCCCATCTTCTGTCACAAGAGAGCCGGCACTCAATCATGCTGTGCAAGCTGGAGCTAACTCTTTATTAGCAAAACCACAATCCGCCGGGACATGGTGGAGTGTCAGGCCTAATAAACACAGCAACTCATTCCCGGCAGGTCTTGTCCCCATGCAAAAGTTACCAAGACAAAAAGCCCCTGCCTCCCTGCAGCCCAGGGCTTTCCCCAAGCAATCGATCGGAGACTGCTCCTCCATTTCATGCCTCTCCTGGTTGTGGGAGGGGAGCTTGTTGCCGCATGACTGACTCCTCTCTGCCTCTTGGTCTCCCTCATCCCAGTCTCCTGCTTCAGCTCCTGCCTCTGATTTGTTGGTCTAGCTCTTTTTCGCTGCTCTCAGACCATTTCCGTAACCAATCCCTTCCACTGGCATTCTGCTACTACATCTTTGACACACTCTGGGGCTGCTACACCAGGCAAAACCATCACAGTATAGAACTGTCCTGAGATCTACGGGTAGAGGGTGAGATACAAATTTAACCAATAATAAATAATAGTAGCCAGACCTGTTGTGCCGAGCGACTTATCTCCACAGCAAGGTCCCCGCCTGAGTTCCCAATGCCAATCACAACTACTCTTTTCCCAGCAAACTCAGCTGGGCTCTTGTAATCACGACTGTGAAAGTAGCGACCTTTGAACTTTTCAATTCCTGTAAGTGAAGAGCAAAATTGTTCGGGCTCAGGAGTGTGGATGCGTCTGGTACATGAGATCTGGCACTGTCGTTTTCTGCTGGTATGAAACTGGTAAACTCTGTAGTTGCAACACTAACTGCACTAAGGACTGTGGACATATTTTGAAGAGCAAAAACGAGGACACAGTTGCTGAGTTCTACTTTGAACTATGGATCTCTATGATGACTCTACCCATGAAAAAGAGGACATGTCCTGGAAAAAGAGGACATATGGCAACCAATCTGGACAAATTTTATTCCTTGCCCCCCCCCCCGAATTCTCTCACAATATCTTTCCAAACCACATTTGCAAAACTAGTTCAGTTTTGTGAGCCTAAACTTTTAAGCAAATGTACTTTCTGTACTGTTCTAGGAAGGAAAAAAATAACTTTTATGCTAGTGAAGTAATCTTTTTTGATTGGAAAACTTGCTTTTTATGACATACACACAGTTTGCTCTTTGGTTTTTAATGCTTTGTTGCTTATTTTAGCACTTATCCCCCTCCCTAGTCTGATCAACTCAAGGCCAGTGTGAGAGAAGACGCTTTTCATGCAAAAGGCCCCAAGTTCAACCTCAGCACCTCCTGGCACAGCTGGGAAAAGGCAATGGAACTGCAGAACTGCTGCCAGTCCATTTTGACGATACAGAGCTGGATGGATCCATGGCCAGACTCATTATAAGTCAGCTTCCAATGTTCCCATGGAACTACGGAAAGAACTGCTGCACCAGTGTGATACAGCTGTGCCAGTGTGATACTTTGAAACTCACTGGCTGAGTGACTTCCGGGGTGGCGCCATCGGTAATGGCGGACTCCCTCTGATCCGGAGGGACTAGCTCCGCGGAAAACGGGTCTTCCCGCTACGGCGAAGCGGGGACCCTTTGAAAAATCACAGGCGGATGAAGCCTGTGACCATGGGACTCGGCGGGCACCTTTCGCGCCCCCCCAACTCGTAAAGGAACCCCGTTATGGGCTCCGGAGCGAAGAGGGGCAAGTGGCGCAGTGCTGAGAGTCAACTGCTTATTCCGTGGAGTGAAGCCGCACAGCCGTTGCCGGAGAGCGCTGCCTTTTTCCTGGGACAATTTGGCTTTTAAAACAATTACCCGTGAGTAACTTAATTTCGGACAATTGGACTTTAAATAACGACCTGCGAGTAGAAAGGAAAATTGGACTCAGAAATTCTTCTCAATTTGGCACTGAAACGGGAAGGTCTAAACAGGAAGTCAGCCTTCCTTTTCTTGTAGATAGATTAAAGCAAAGACACGGCAAACTAGAGTTCAGAAAATCATTTGTAAAGGATTAACTTTCATCATTTAAAATTGTTGAACCCCCTTCGGAAGCAGGAGAAGAGGGGGGATTTTTTCCGGACTGTTTAAACCTGCAGAAGAGAGTGTAAAGTAAAGTAATTTTCCACCATCTTGAACCTGGGAGCCGGGTGTCAGGACTGACATTTTTTGGGAAGCTCATTGACCATAGACAAACGTTTTTGACAGATAGTTAAAAGAAGAGAAACATAGTGATTCCATTGTTCCCCTTCGCATTTTAAAGGATTAAATATTGACAAAATATCTGAAAAAGGAAACTTTGTTGTTAGATCTGCCTTTAAAAGAAAAGAACAAATAGAAGTTCTTCCCCTAGAGGGAGCTTGTGAAACTGTTACTAAATCTGAATCAGGGAGCTCTGCAGCTGCAACAGATTACGATCGTGGGAACAGACTTCTGACCTTGCAGAACAATGTACTCAGAAGCTCTGGTGCGTGCTTTCTGTAAAACAAGTGCCCTATTGGAACAGCTACATGAGAAGACGGACTTGATGACTGTTGCGATTGGAAATTTTGGACAGGTAGTGGGTAACTATATAGAGCCCACCCAGGAATCAAATCAGGAGTGTGCTCTGACAGATCAGATGAGGGAAGAAGATGTTGCTGAACCTCGGGTGCCAGAGATGGAGGGAGTTGTGGCCCAGCAGGAACATGAGTTGTTGGATCTGATAAATGAACTTGGAAAAAGCCAGATTTGGAGAGATAGAGTTTTGTTTGGTTTGGAAATGGGGGGTTGGATAGACCCCCCTAAGCAGGGATGTTTTGACTTTCCAAGTCTGGTAATGGGCCGCGAGATGTTTGGGGTTGTGGGGGCTCTTAACTCTGGAGGGACTTTGAAACATGTTTTTAAATACCACATGGAGTCTAGTGTGGACTATGGAAAAGGGGCTGATTTGTCGAGAAGGGTCAAAAACACTGTCAAGCTGGAGTTCCCACGAGTGAAAGGAGCAGGAGACAAAGTAAAGTACAGGTATAAATATGAAGAAGAGCCGCGGAAGGGACATGGAAGAGACTTAAGGGCCTCGGACATAAGATTACCAGGTTAATGCACCAGATTGATGGGATAGAAAGGACTGACAAAACCCGGGACCAGGAGGAAGAGACGCTGGATGAAGATTGGAAGAAAATTTGAAAAAAAAATTTTATTAGGATTGCTTTATAAAATTGATGAATGTTAGAAAAATGTTGGAACGAAATTATTTGGCTTTAGCAAAAATGTTAAAAGAATTATGTAAGAATATGTTATGGTTATGAGAAATTGGTATAAATAAGATGTAAGTTTTAAGTTTTAGGGTTTTTTATAGTAAGATAAGCTTAAAATAGACTAAGGTAAGGTAATGATAGAATATTATGAAAAATGGAAAGGATTTGCTGTGATAGTTAACAACTAGGATACAAAAAATGGAGGAGTGAGGAGGTCAATGAAAGAAGGCAATGACAGTTAAGGATTTGAGAATATAGAATTTGTTTTTAAATTTCTGTGGCTTACTTTTGCTTTTTGATTGTGCTCTGTTACGTGTTTTGTTATTTTTTGATTTTGATTTTTATTAATTCAGATTTATTTATTTATTGCATTAGCCGAGTGGCCATAGCATGATATACATTGAAATAACAACATAAAATGGGGGTGGGGAGGTAGAGGTAGACATCGTCCTGGGCGAATACTTAAAGAAAGTGAAAAGAAAAAAAAACCAAAAAAAACAAAAAAAAACAAAAGCTGCTGAGGCTGGAGGAGGACCGTTAAAGGGTCCTTCAGCTCCTCAGATTAGTCCTAACTCGATTGTCCTTGTACAATAAGGCTACTTGGAACTTCGTTCGGTTGTGCGGCGTATCGACTGCATCTGTGGTGTTAAGGAAGAAGTTAGTGCCGCTTTCCTCTTCATCACACTAAGCAGGAAGTTAGCTGTCATCTCAGTAATCCAACAATCAGAATCCTGCAAAAAGAGGGACACTATCCAAGGCTGGATTGGGAGATGGAACTTATTCACGAGGGGAGTTAAAAACCGAGATCTTTCATCTGTCCAGTTGGGACAGAAGAGCATTACATGTTCCATAGTCTCCAGGGCCGTGTCATTACAGGAGCATGTTCTGTTTGCGATGGGAACTCTGGAATAACGACCCGACAGAACTGCTGTAGGAAAACAGTTGAGACGGGCACAGGTAAAAGCCCTTCGCTTAGTCTCCGAAGAAATTGTGAAGCAGTATAGAGGGATCCCTTCAGGGGTGGAATAGCTAGGGCTAGGCCTGAACACGGTCCTCTTGCACAAGAAGCTGTGTTGGAGAAGTCAAGTTGCTGTAGTTTCTTTTTAATTAGGGGTAGGGCCACCGGGCTGATACACTCTAAGTTAAGAACAGTTTTACAATTCAAATTGAGAAGAGAGCGGAATTTGAGGTTAATTGTAGTTTTCCAAGGGGAATTATGAATTAATTTGTATTGTTTGATTGTGGTTTGTTTTTCTTTTGTTTTTTCTCTTTCTTTTTCTTTTTTTGTTTTTCCTGTAATTTTAAAATTTTAAATAAATATCATTTAAAAAAAAAAAAGATACTCACTGGCTGAAATGAACAACCTGTTCTATGTCTAAGCACTACTTAATACACAGAGTTGTGGTGAGAATAACTGTGAGATAACAAATACACAACACTTTGCACACTGGAAAAGGCTATAGAAATGAGTAGCAAGTTAAACATAAAGGAAGAACTTAGCTTATTTTAAGAGAGAGAGAGAGAAATGCAGTTACAGGATTGGTTCCTTGATAAGACGGACACTGCCATGTGGTTTTCTCTGCTGAGCACCTTTATGTAAGTGCCAGTGCCCAAAACAGCATGAGCTGTGGGAAGCTCAGGCAAGTGAGACATGGCAAGGGGAGCATTCACATTTCCATACTAGAGGCAACGACTGAGGGGTGGCAAACCCTGAAGCAGTCACAAAATGTCATAAAAACGTCATGAGAAGGGGCAGGAGCAGAGTGGTCTTACGTGTGCTCAGCTGGCGCACGCGGGGGTCCGTAACCCCCTTGCAAAACAAGGATTGCCTGTAACATCTGCCTGCAATGGCTCCGTCGCTCCCCTTAGCACCTACAGAGCGTACCTGGGAAGGAGTTCAGCGGCAGATGTGCCTTTGTGTGATGCCCAGTGCAAACCAGGATTGCATCAAAGACGGATGATTCTTCTTTTCCACCTGTCTCTGTGACAACATCCCATTGGCCAGTGCTAGAGAAATCTGGGCGCCTTTTTACACTGCACACCTTAGTCTGGAAAGAAAAAAGTGAGCAAGAGAATGATGAAGGATTTATTTATGTGATATTAATGTATACCTCAGCATATGGTACAAAATACATATCAGAAGACACCTAAGGGCTGCGGTCTTAAACCTACACACTTGAAATGAAAATAAATGCTTCCAAATAAAACTGATTGGGACCAGACTTTAGATTATTCCATGTTGAGCAAATTCTTTTCTAGGGGTACTCAGGGGTACGCAGTACCGACACCCCCACACCCCCAATGAAAAGCATTGGTTAAAAGTGTGGCACTGACTATTACAACTTCGTAGTGCGTACTGACACCTTTTCTTTTTCTGGAAGAAAAGCACCACCCACAACCCTTGTTGAATCTCAAGGGTAAATTTCAATTCCTCCAGTACCAAGAAATAGATGAATTTTACAGCATGCTAGAATAAGTACAGTGGTACCTCGGGTTAAGAACTTAATTCTGAAGCGTATGTAACCCGAGGTACCACTGTATTTTGTTTATTTATTCAAACATTTCTATTGCATCTTTCTTCCTTTTGGGAACCCCCAGCAGCAGCAGCAGCAGCAGCAGCACATGCACAATAGATTTGACAAAACAACAGTGGGAGAAATTGGTGAAGGAGACTAAAAAGAGTGAGCTTATCTCTTTGGGATTAAGGCTGGTTGCTTGTCTGAGCTGCTTGGTGACAAACTCCTGGAGGAACTTAGCTCACAGAAGCAGTACTGTCAGAAGCCATGCTGTGTCACTGGAGCTGCAAAATTAATTCCTTGCGCTCACCTCAGACACAGATACTGGGCCAGAGGATCAAGAACATAAGTTGCAGAGCTTAGAACACTCTGAGGTGGTTTTGGAAGGCACTGTGTATGGAATGATTCCTGCCACTCCCCAGAGGAGGAAGGGACTTGGGTTGATGGAAGGGGACTCCTTACTGAGGGGGACAGAGGCAGCAGTGTGCAGAGGTAACAGGATGTCCTGGGTGCAACAATTCAAGGACAGAGAAGTTGCCAAGGCTTATAAAGCCCACTGGTCACAACTCCTCCCTTCTGATCCACGTGCATTCAAATGATACTGCCAGACACAGCCCTTGATGTATAGCAAGGAACTATGAGACTCTGGACTGGAAGTTCAAGGACCATGGGGCAAGGAGGTTTTTTTCAACACTCTTTCCTGATGAAAGTCGTGGCCCAGGAAGGAGGAAAATACTGGAAGTAAACCACTGGCTGCACAGGGGATGTTGTCAGGAAAGGTTTGACTTCTTCTCCGCTTTCTTGAGTAAGGACTTCTGGCAAGAGATAGGTTACACCTCACAGCAGTTGGCAAGAATGTGTTTGCTAAGCATCTTGCTGAGCCACTCAGTCAGAACTTTGTATGGTTCATTCAAACAAAATGATTGCAAGTGAAAAAACCATGCCATTTTTGCGACGTTACAGACGAGTCCTGTGTTTTAGCTTAGGTCTGTGTAAGCTGGCATCAATTAGTCCTATTTATCAACTGTTTAGCAAAGCAGTTTTTATGCTGTCCTCTTGGAGTCTGCAGAGGTGCACGGTTGACAGGAAGGCATGTAACCGAGTGAATAACTGCATGACTCACACCTTCTATAGCCTCTTGTTTCACTAAACCCTCGTGACCCTTCTCCCTAGACAGGTTGTCTCCTGCCTTCTGCTCTCCACTGGCTCCACCCCATCTTCAATGGTTGCTAGAGATGGAAGAAGACAGAGTTTTGGTGTCCCCCTTCTCTCCCACAAATAAAGATTGCAAGCTTTTCATCCTTAAAAAATTCTGCTGTGACAAAGCAAAAAGAAAAAGAAAAAGTGGTCTACAAAAAAGCGAACACAGATTGATCAGGAAAGGCTGAAAAGAGCTGAAGAAACACACTCTCAGCTTCCTTCCACCTAAAATAAGGATAGGGAACCTGCAGACACAGGCCAATCTCAGGCTGCCAGGAGGTCCAATGTGACCCTGTGAGGCCACTTCCCCCAAACCACAGCTGGTGCTGTCAGCTGATGAGCAGGAGGACAGAGTATAATTCTGCATTGGGTAGACAAGACAGCAGGATTTAATCCCCAATCTCTTTTTGTTTTTGGCATCATTTTTGTTTTTCTTCAATGTCCTCCCTGTTGACTGAATGCTCTGCTTATGGCAAGAGAGAACATGAGAGAGGCCACTTGGACCAACTACTCATAGTATATTGCATAGTATATTGTCAAGAACTCTTCTGTCCAGAATTTGCTCTTCCAAACCTAGAAACATCCCAGAACACAGCTGCTCTGTCCTACTCTTCTTACCCTGAAATGGATATATTTCAGAAGATCAAAGTGCTTGGCGTACATTCGGAAATAATCCATAATCCTGGAGTTGTGCATGTAGTTGGGGAAGTCGTCTGGGATGGGGAAGTCGCTGAAGCACATCATCTCCTTGGAGGTGTTGATGATGACGGATCTATAGATGCTGGCCCGTCCCTCCTCAGGATTCTCCTGCAGGAAGCATAATTTTAAGAGGGTGAGGTTGTGCTCATTTCGTATACAGTCATACCTCGGGTTAAAGTTGCTTCAGGTTGAGGGTTTTCGGGTTGTGCTCTGCGGTGACTCGGAAGTAACGGAACGCGTTACTTCCGGGTTTCGGCGCATGCGCAGACGCTCAAGATGACGTCACGCACATTCACAGAAGCAGTGAATCGCAACCTGCACACGCGCATACGCAGGTTGCGTTCGCTTCAGAATGCGAACGGGGCTCCAGAACGGATCCTGTTCGCATCCAGAGGTACCACTGTATGTCACTTAGGGATGTTTTCTTTGAAAGGCAAGTAACAAAGGCAATTATAATATTGTTTGAGGCACTTGCTTCTCCAATCACTGGGAAATCTAGGCTAGGCCTTAACAGGATCAATTTCCTTTGTGGAAGAAAACACTGGAGAGTTGCAATACACATGTTAAAACTGTTTGAAAAGTACTGCAAGGGCAGAGACAGACATATATGAGGCACTACTTTCAGAGATACCATGAATTAGCTCATCCTCAAAAATTATATTGTGCAAGTCAAGCAAACTCAGGTGTTCTATCTTTGTGATCTACTGATGCACAATAAGAAACAGCCCACACATCACGTCACACACGACCTGCCAGTATTTAGTGCTTCGTTTGAGCTTGGGAGCAGCAGCAAAGGCAGATCCAGAAAAACTGGATATTGGAGGAGCTGCCTCCTTAGACAGGCATCCAACTTGCTGGCCCTGCATTCAGTTAGGCTGAGCATGGTCAACCTTTCCTTCCTGTGACCAAGAACTTCTTTTAGCAGGTTAAAGCTTCCATTTTCCCATCACAGTTTCTGCTCCTTTCCTGCTCCTAGGTTTTTAGCAGTTGTTGTTACAAATCCCCACTGACAGAATCCTCAGCAAGAAAAACATTAACATTTATGAAATGATCTGGCTTACCTTGAACCTCCAGAGCCCCCCAATGTCTTCACTGCTCTCAAAGCATGTAGGATCTAGACCCTCATCTAAACAGCATTTGATGCTACAAAGTCCACTGGAGCCACCTCCTATAATTGCAACTCTCTTCTTTGCCATGGCTGGTTTCCCAATTTCAGGAATCTTAGGGCTAGGCTAGGAGGAGAAAGAGATACTTATTTCCATAAAGTTCACACTCTTGCACCTTCAATAATCCAGGCACACATATCTCCCTGAACTTGTTTTGCAATTCCCAAAATAATACCTGACCAGATCTGCACCTTTCCTTTGAAATTGGTTTCAACCCAAAAGAGGAACAAAATTGCATATATTAGGGAAAAGTGTACATTAAAAGCCATATATTAAAATTTTAAAAAATAGCATACAAAATGAATTGTATTAGTCAAAATTGTTTGCAAAGTGTGCCTATGAGAAAATTGCACTGGTGTGAAGGTAAATGAGTCAAATGTAGGTTTTTCTCAGGAAGCTGCAGAATACGGATGGATTGTGGCTGATGTCATGTGTGCCCAACTTCAAACACCAGCAGCAGGAGTGCAGTGGAGAGTTGAGCAAATGATAAACACAGTAAAGAATCTTAAATACAACACTCATATCCACTTTTTAGTGCTGACTCCGTTCCTTGTGTTCATGCTTTCACAGCTGATCTGTGTGCAGTTCCTGGCAGCCTGGAGGCTCAGTTGTCCCTTGGCCAACAGGAGAACATTTGTGCTTCAGTCACTGTGGGAAAGCCTTAGGAAGAATCCACCTTGGGGAAATGCATGGTGTGTTTTTTGTGTGTGTGGAGGAATTATTTGCCTATGAATGTTGTTTGATGAACATGACGGTGGGGCATCAAGGCTTACTGGTGAAGCAGGGGGCCTCCTTCCTATAGCAGAAGGGCCAGTGGGGTCATGGAAATGGGCACCAATATCGTAAGAGGTTCACCGTAGATGAAAGGAAGGGATATCAGGATGCCTGCAAGGCTTGAGAGGCTTTTCAATAGGGGCTTCTGCCCAGGATTGTGAAAGAAAGCCATGCACAGCAAGCTGAAAGTGGTTCCTATGGGGACTTCCGGGTTGGCGCCTCTGGCAATGGCGGATTTCCTCCGATCGGGAGGAATCCGCTCCGTGGAAAACAGGGTCTGAACCGCCACGGCGAGGCGGAGACCCATCAAAAACCACAGGCGGGAGAAGCCTGCTTCTTTCACGGAGTGAAGCCGCATTGCTGTTGCCGGAGAGCACTGACTTTTTCCTGTGGACAATTGGAGCTTAAATAACTGTCCGTGAGTAGAACGGAAAATTGGAATAGGAAATTTCCTTTAATTTGGCACTGAAGCGGGAAGGTCTAAACAGGAAGTCTGCCTTCCGCTTTTTGTAAATAGATTGAAGCAAAGACACGGCAAGCTAGAGCTTAGAAAATCGTTGTAAAGGATCAATTTTCATCATTTAAAATTACTGAACCCCCCCTTGGAAGCAGGAGAAGAGGGGGGAACTTTTTCTGGACTGATTAAACTTGCAGAAGACAAGTAAAGAAAAGCAATTCTCCACCGTCCTGAACCTGGGAGCGGGGTGTCAGGACAGATGTTAAAAGAAGTTAAAAGAAGAGAAACATATTGATTCCATTGTTCCCCTTCGCATCTAAAAGGAACAAAATATTGACAAAATATCTGAAAAAGGAAACTTTGTTGTTAGATTTGCTTAAAAAAAAAAAAAGGAGAGAGATGGATAAAATAGAAGTTTTTTCCCCTAGAGGGAGCTTGTGAAACTGTTATTAAATTCGAACTGGGGAGCTTTGAAGCTGCAATAGATTAAGATCGTGGGAACAGACTCTGACCTTCAACAACAATGTATTCGGAGGCTCTGGTGTTGGCCTTTTGTAAGACAAGTGCTTTATTGGAACAGTTACATGAGAAGATGGATTTGATGACTGTTGGGATCGGAAATTTTGGACAGGCAGTGGGTACTTATATAGAACCCACTCAGGAGTTAACTCAGGAGTGTGCTTTGACAGATCAGATGAGGGAGGAGGCTGTTGCTGGACCTAGTGAGGCAGAGATGGAGGGAACTGCGGCCCAGCAGGAACATGAGTTGTTGGACTTGATGAATGAACCTGGAGAAAGCCAGATTTGGAGAGACAGAGTTCTGTTTGGTTTGGAGATGGGGGGCTGGATAGACCCCCCTATGCAGGGATGTTTTGACCTTTCAAGTCTGGCTTTGGGCTGGGAGGCGTCCGGGGTTGTGCGGGCCCTTAACTTTGGAGGGACTTTGAAACATGTTTTTAAATACCACATGGAGTTCAGTGTTGACTTTGGAAAAGGGGCTGATCTGTCGAGAAGGGACAAAAACACTGTCAAGCTGGCGTCTCCCCGAGTGAAAGGAGAAGAAGACAAAGTAAAGCACAGGTATAAATATGAAGAAGATCTGCGGATGGGACATGGAAGAGATCCAAGGGCCTCGGATATAAGGTTACCAGGTTGATGGACAAGATGGATGGGATAGAAAGGACTGACAAAACCCGAGACCAGGAGAAAGAAACGCTGGATGAAGATTCGAAGAAAGTTTTAAACAATTTATTTAGGAAAAGTTTGTAAAAGTAAAGAGTATTAGAAAAATGTTGGAATGAAATTATTTGGCTTTAGCAGAAATGTTAAAAAGAATTATGTAAGAATATGTCATGGTTAAGAGAATTTGGTATAAATAAGATTTAAGTTTTAAGTTTTAGGGCCTTTTATGGTAACCCTAACCCTAACCCTTAAAATAGATTAAGGTAATTTAATGACAGAATATTATGAAAGATGGAAAGGATTTGCTGAGATAATTAACAACTAGAATACAAAAAAGGGAGGTATGAGGAGGTCGATGAAAGAAGGTAATGACAGTTAATGATTTGGGAATATTGGATTTGTTTTTAAATTTTTTGTCTATTTTTGTTTTTTGATTTTGATGCATTATGTGTTTTGTTTTTTTCTCTTTTTGTTTTTTTTTTATTGATTCGTATTGTTTAAATGTTACTTGTTTTTTCTTTGTTTCTTTGTAATCTTAAAATTCTCAATAATTTTTTTTTTAAGTGGTTCCTATGGGAGGGAGCCCCTTGGCCTCCCCCCCCCCCCACCGCACGACCCACCAAGTGTAGCTCAGGTTTGCCAGTAACCATGCCAGGGGAATTGTAGGGGGCTGTGCATGCCAGTCTCCCTGAGCGTCTCATGGGGAGGGATCAGAAGTACCCTCTCCATCCTGGTCTTAGAATCACAGAATGATAGAATCATATGGTGTCTTATCTGGTGACTTATCTGGGTCTTAGCTGGTGTGTGCATATGTCATGCTCTTTCAACAACACTATGACTGATTTAATCCCATTTGTTGTTGCCCAACACGTTCCTTCTTTCATGACAGGCAAAGTATGCCGACAGCACTAAACAGTGATGAATATCCATTTCAGGCACTAGCTGACTTATCACCTGGATCTCTGAACCTTCCCCATGGCACTTCGAGAGATAATTATTTCAACCAGGCAGGTCTGACCAGCACGTCCACAAAATAAATACATCCATGACCTCTGAACACCTCCCTCAGTGAAGATAAGCTTTACTTTATTTCTCTTCTAGTTCAAACCAGCAACAATTTCTGCACTAGGAAGCCACAAAATTCCCCTGCAGGCAAGATACCAAAGGTAGTCATTGATGTCATTTTCTCTTGTTGACTTTCCCCATCAGAAAGGTCTTTCAGCAGCCATATTTTTACCATGTTTCAAAAGGTAAAACGTGTGTTTAAGAGGGAAATTGTTAGTACTCATTAAAGATTCCTCATCATCCTGGGGAAAAGTGACAAGTGGGGTGTCACAGCGTTCTGTCTTGGGCTCATTGTTGTTCAATGTCTTTATAAGTGACTTGGATGAAGGAATTGAGGGAATGCTCCTCAAATCTGCAGATGACATCATAGAATCATAGAGTTGGAAGAGACCACAAGGGCCATCGAGTCCAACCCCCTGCCAAGCAGGAAACAACATCAGAGCACTCCTGACATATGGTTGTCAAGCCTCTGCTTAAAGACCTCCAAAGAAGGAGACTCCACCACACTCCTTGGCAGCAAATTCCACTGTCGAACAGCTCTTACTGTCAGGAAGTTCTTCCTAATGTTTAGGTGGAATCTTCTTTCTTGTAGTTTGGATCCATTGCTCCGTGTCCGCTTCTCTGGAGCAGCAGAAAACAACCTTTCTCCCTCTATGTGACATCCTTTTATATATTTGAACATGGCTATCATATCACCCCTTAACCTTCTCTTCTCCAGGCTAAACATGCCCAGCTCCCTTAGCCGTTCCTCATAAAGCATCGTTTCCAGGCCTTTGACCATTTTGGTTGCCCTCCTCTGGATACGTTCCAGTTTGTCAGTGTCCTTCTTGAACTGTGGTGCCCAGAACTGGACACAGTACTCCAGGTGAGGTCTGACCAGAGCAGAATACAGTGGCACTATTACTTCCCTTGATCTAGATGCTATACTCCTATTGATGCAGCCCAGAATTGCATTGGCTTTTTTAGCTGCCACGTCACCCTGTTGGCTCATGTCAAGTTTGTGGTCAACCAAGACTCCTAGATCCTTTTCACATGTACTGCTCTCAAGCCAGGTGTCCCCCATCTTGTATTTGTGCCTCTCATTTTTTTTGCCCAAGTGCAATACTTTACATTTCTCCCTGTTAAAATTCATCTTATTTGTTTTGGCCCAGTTCTCTAATCTGTCAAGGTCAAAACTGGGAGGAGTAGCCAATGCTGCAGAAGACAGAATCGGAATTCAAAATGATCTTAACAGATTGGAGAACTGGGTGCACGCTAACAAAATGAATGTCAATAGGGAGAAATGTCAGGTTCTACACTTAGGCAGAAAGAACCAGATGCACAAATATAACATGGGAGACACCTGGCTTACTAGCAGTTCATGTGAAAAGGGTTTAGGGTAGACCACAAGCTTCACATGAGTCCACAGTGTGATGAAGCAGCAAAAAAGGCTAACACTATTCTAGGCTGCATCAACAGATGTCTAGTATCCAGATCAAGGGAAGTAATAGTACCACTCGATTCTGCCTTGGTCAGACCACACCTGGAATACTCTGTCCAATTCTGGGCACCACAATCTAAGAAGGATGGTGACAAGCTGAAACATGTGCAGAGGGGGGCAACCAAGATGATAGAGACTGACAGGAGATATGATAGTCATTTTCAAATATCTTAAGGGCTGTCACATGGAAGGGGGAGCAAGCTTGTTTTCTCCTGCTCTGGAGGGTAGGACTCAAGGCAATGGCTTCAACTGACAAGCAAGGAGATTCCAACTAAACATCTGGAAAAACTTTTTGACAGTAAGAGCTGTTTGGCAGTGGGACAGTCTCCCTTGAGAGGTTGTGGGCTCTCCTTCCTTAGAGGTTTTTATGCAGAGGTTGGATGGCCATCTGTCAGGGATGCTGTAGTTGAGATGCCTGCATCACAGAGGGTTGGACCAGCTGAGCTGCTTGGGATCCCCTCCTACGTTACAATTCTATGATTCTATGACTCCTTTCCCCTTATACCCCACCTTTCCTCCAAAGTGCTCAAGGTGGCCCTCCTGGTTTCCCATTTCCCATGTTATCCTCACAATGACCCTGTGAGGTAGGTGAGGCTGAGAGACAATGACTGGCCAAAGGCCTCACTTGAGGGCCAAGCCGTGGCTTTTACCCTGTTCTCCCAGATCCAATAAATGTCCCACAATGTTACTCCATATTCTGGAAAGTAGGTCTAGAAGTGAAGAAGCAGGAGGACCTTTTCTCATAGCTCTGGGCGTTTATGGCGACCCTTGTTAACAGTTCTGGGTGGCAACTTTCCCCTTTCCACCACCCATGCCTCGGAGGTTTTTAAGCAGAGGTTGGATGACCATCTGTCAGAGATGCTTCAGCTGAGATTCCTGCATTGCAGGGGGTTGGACTAGATGACCCTTGGGGTCCCTTCTGACCACAATTCTGATTCTATGATTAGCATAAATGATGCCTCTGTCAGACTATGGCTTTTTGCCATAATTCACCAGGTCTCAGAACTGACTAGGTCCATAAACATGTAAAGTTATAGCAAGTGGGCCTTCAGACATGTTCTTTTTTTTATTATGGCCAGCCTCCATGCATCACCTCAGGTGCTGCCTGGAAGAGGAGCCCTCAACCAAGGTACCTCACTTTTGGTAAATGAAAAGTTACACCTGTGTCCTGATATTCATAACAACGGAGCTTCTTCAACTATGAGCCAGAAGCCCCAGCTCAAATCTCACCCTCCACTGTGAGCTCAACCGCCATGGCTTTGACAAGCTGTTATCTTTTAGCCCCAGGCTGTATAATTCATTCTGCAGTATGGATTCCAGCCAGACCTTTGCATGCCTTGTCTCTATGCAGATGGTTTGGTTAACGTCCAGGCCATATTTTCTTGCAAGAGAAGCAAATCATGGAACGGTCTAGAGAGAAACTCTCTACAACTAAGAGGGATGGATCCAGTGGGTTTACAAACCACCTCTGCCACTAAGTGACGGGGAAGAAACTATACTTTCTCATCCTCCCTTTTTTATTAGCAAAATTTTAATAACCTACCTCACAAGATTGTAGAACATTCTATGCACTCCTCTAGAAATTGTAATATAGGTAAAAGCAGGCACAGGCAGACTCGTCCCTCCAAGATGTTTTGGGACTACAACTCCGATCATCCCTGGCTAACAGGACCAGTGGCCAGTGATTATGGGAATTGTAGTCCCAAAACATCTGAGGGCTGAGTTTGCCTATGCCTGGGTAAAAGCAATACTCAGTTATTCCTTTCAATAAAAAACCAGTGATTTCATAACGGGATATTACACTTAGGAAACTTATTAAAGAGGATATCCTGACACTAATTCCTTAGTGATTTGGTCTTCTCCATTCCTCACATTCATTTTTGAAAGTAAGCTATTTTAGTTGTTCTTGCTTCTTCGTAAGTTCCTGTGCTTTTACTCCAGTGAAACCAGCAGGTGTGCTCTGTTAAACTCGTCCAGATCCCTTTCAACATTTCATATGCCATTTTATCCTTCAAGTCTGTCCTTTACAAAGACCCTGATACCTTCTGATGACTAGAAATATGACATTCACCTGCCCTAAACAACTGTAACTGGTATACCTGACAACAACTTAATATTTGCAGACTGAAAGCTATACAACAGACCTGTGAAGACTGCAGATGTGATGAGGCAATGGCCCAAGGATTCACCGTGCTGCCTAGTCCACCTCTTCCACTCTGAAATTCTTCTTGGAGTGGAGAGAAGAGAGCTTTTAAAGGGTGTCATTGAGCAACAGTCCCTCCCAGCTGTTTGCTCCAATTGGACGGAGGGAAGCAAATCTTGGCAGGAAAGACATGGGTTTGAAAATATTTAGCAGTCTTTTTCCATGGCCAAAAACAGTAACTGAGAAACAAGGTCTACAGTGTTGAGAAACAACATCACATGGCTTGGCAGGCTTCCCAAATGCTTCCATTTACGATTCTTCTTCACATGACAATGGGGAAAGATCTCTGGGATGTGGAAGTTGTGCTGGTTGCATTTGCAATAGCAAAGGGTAAAGCAGTCAGGTAACTTTTAACCTTTGAGCTCAACAATCCAGCAATCTCAGTAAACACACCCTAGATAAAGATTGTATGAAAGGTTATTTTATAGCTCTGGGTTGCTTTGAGATTCCTGCCTTGCAGGGGGTTAGCGCAGATGACCCATGAGTCCCTGTGATTCTATAATTTTAGGAATGCTAAAGAATGTGTTGACGTGCAATGCACAGAAGTGAGAGTCCAGGAGCAAAAACTCACCGTGACAAGATTAGGTGAAAATAGGTCACTGCTCTGTCTCCTTGATAACAGCCATAGTCCAGGTAAGCAAGGCAGGTGGGCAGGATCAGGGCACTGGGAAGCCGGTCTGCTGCCAGGCTGAGGAAGACACATGGCAGTCATCGGGGTGGACCTGGGTAATATTGCGTCCTGTGTGAGGCCAAAATTTGACACCCTCTCCAGCCCAAAGCCGCCTTCCCAAAGCCAGGTAGGGGAGACACCAGGCTTTGGGAAGCAGGTATGAGGGCTCTGGCAGGGTCCTAGAGCCCTCTCCGCTCCTTCTCAAAGTTGGTAGTAGACCAGTATAAAGTAAGCAGCACATAAGCAGCACACAAAACACTACCAAACCATTCTACGTTCTAAAACTTATATTAATAATCCAAAACTTGAGAGAACAATGTACAAGATCTACTACAGAAGCCACAAACAGAAAACTCATTCAAATTGTGTCCAAAAGGAAGATTCAGTCTTTAAAGGTCCTTTAGCCAGGCTCCTGTAGATATAAACAAAAGTAAGTTTGATCAAATGAAGTGTCAGCAATGTTGCGCTCAAGGGTTAGATATCAACGAAGATAAGTTTGATCAAACGAACTGTCGGTGATGTTACGCACAATAATTAGACAGGGTGCCGGCGTTTGTCACCTGTTACGCCCATTAAGAGTCTCGGGCTTCTTCAGTAAATTCTCTCTTACAGTTTTGATATATTTATAAACATTCAAGTCTATATGTTACATTTCTTCTTGGCTTAAGCTACAATGTTTAATTTCTTTCTTCAGGAAATTCTCCCTCAAGATTTTGATGTACTAAGGCTTAGTAAATGAATAAATGCTTAAGTCAAGAAAGAACTTAGCAGGCTAAACATATCCAACTCCCTTGACCATTCCTCATAACTTGGTTTCCAGACCTTGGATCATCCTCTGCACACCTTCTAGTTTGTCAACATCCTCCTTAAATTGGTGCCCAGAATTGGACACAGTATTTCAGGTGTGGTCACAGCAAGCATTCTAACCATTATGCCACACTTGCTCTCAAGGAGTAGGAAAGAAAAATAGCCAGCCATGAGCTACAAAACAGTTTGTGGTAAATGCAGTTTCTTTCAGTTTAGAAGGCAGCAGAAGTGACAACCTGAATTGTGTTTTCAGCAACTGAGAGTTTACTGAAACACTTTATGCCACAGCATTTCCTCATAATAAGCTGCTTCTGGGCATATATTGAAGTCCCCCACCGCAATCTGTTTTTTCTTTTTTTTTAAGTATTTTTATTAAATGTTATCAAGATTTCTGTTGTGGGGGGCAGGCTTCATGTTGGGGTGCCAGAACCTCAGTTAGTTAAATATTTTTATTAATTTACTTGATTGTAGGGGAAAGCTGCCCCCCCCCTTAGCTATGTCCATGAATTTTATCCATAGAATCCAAATAACAAAATGAAATTTCATGAGATAAAACACATAAAAACCAAACCAAACCAAGGCTGGCATGAGATGTTACATTCACAAGAAAAAATGATAAAGCTGGTTATCTGGATATTTGTGATAAGACACAGAGGAGGTGGTAAGAGGAGAGCACCGTCATGGAAAATGAGAGACCCGGAAGTGGGGCCCATGGCTTGAAGCTTGCACAGAAACACAAGTCCAGAGCTGAGCCGTCAAAGGCACAAGGAGTACCAAGAATAAATGGCTCTTTTTAACACCAGGAATTTTCCCCAACCAAATCGATGCTACTTAGCCCAAACTGAGAGGCCTGCAGAAGAGGCAAGTGTAATTTTTCTTTTTTAATGTATTCAATGAAATCCTGCCCAACTGAGACAAAAGAGGTTACCTATTTTTCAGGTGAGTTTTCCGGGTCGTGCTCGAAAATTTATTAAGGTCGCTGCTAGCACGTTCCCTTTTTTCTTTCCTGTTTCACAAACCTCACTTTTTAGACCTGAAACCTTTCAGCTCCACGATGTGGAAAAGCGTCGGGGTTTCTGGGCTCTCCTCAGAAAGGCTCCCGTGTGGGCGAAGCTCCCCTCCGAGGGCGGGAGGCGCGCCGGGAACAAAGGGCGCTGCCCGCCCGCCCCAGCGCCAGGGAGGCGGGAAGCGGCCATTGCTCAAGAGCGGAAGGAGCTCTCGAGCTGCTCCGGGGAGAGGGGGGCTGAAGTGTAGAATTCAAGTGCTTTACATGAAAGAAATGCTAACGCCGTTCACTCTGGCTGAGGCTACACTGCCCCAAGGCTTGCCTCACCCGCTTGCTTCACAAGGAGTGAATGGGTGGGCTTTATCAGCACAGATTAAGGTAAGAACATTCACAAAATGCTGAAAAATATTTAATACGGTTTGGGGCAATTCACACAACCACTGTGATATGTCAGAATGTAGTTTATGGATAACTAACATGATCTCATGCTTTTGGAAACACAGTTGTGAGAAGTGCACAAGCACCAATTATGAGCAAATCCCTACCTGACTAAATACGCATTTGTTCAGGAGCAACCTGTTCTGTGCTGATGGAGAAATACTTCATCAGCAGCTTCAACTCATAAGTGCATCTTCGGCACAGGAGAGGATTTGCATGCTGTGGCAGCTGTGCCAATGGAGAAAGGAATACAGATAATCATTTCAGAATTCAAAGCTTCTCCAAGCAGGGATTTGAAGCCAAAGGGGCATTTTCCCTTCAAAAACATTTTCAATGGCCATAGATGTGTTCTGTTTTGGATTACCTAGGCTGCAACCCTGCGCACACTCATCTTGGGGTCAATGGGGCTTACATCCAAGTAGACATGTATAGGATATTTTGTCAGCCACCATAACAGTGACTTGCACTGCTACAATAGCGCATATATCTGGCCTTTCTATGTAAGGTTTGCATCAGGATGGAAGCCTACTTGCCTTGTTCATTTACTTCAACCAGAAAAATAGGTGAAATAGATCCTGTAGAGTACAAATATGCTTTTGTCAGGAATAGGAATACGGAGAGTTCATCTGACTGATGTAGAAACCTCTCAAGCTTCTGCATTATTCTAATATTCACTAATGCCCAATAATCCTGTCTCTTTGTCATGAAAAGAGTTATTTTACCTTTATCAGAGCATTTTCAAGAAAGACAAAATGACACAATTCTCTTCAGATCACAATCCTTTATTGATTAACAAGTAATAACCAATAAGGACTCAATCATTCATCACTCATTCATTCATTCATACACACATACCTACCAGATGGTTGGACCCACTAGAAGAGATGGCCAGTCTCTTCTAAGGGCCATCGGACGGCATCCTCCTGCAGGTAGGACAGCACGCAAAGTTCCCAAGGCTTTCCAGCTTCTTATATAGGCTCAGTTTCCATATGGCTACATTGTCTTGTATTGAAGGGGGTTGGACCAAGTGATAGCCGTTGTCATGATTATTCCTCAAATAGACATGAATAGGTATAGCTGAAAACAGTCTGGTTTCCGACATGTTTGATTCCTTAGATAGATATGAATAGCATGTTTCAAACAGTCTAGTTTCCACCGTGTTGTCACCGTCCTTATGAATAATATGTTTCTTCCAACATGTCTTCTTTAAGAACAGTCATTTCTTTCAAGAACAGTCATTTGTTAATAACAGGTGGAGACGAATCAGCATATAGAGGGGAGGTCCAAAAAATATCTACATAGTGCCTAGGGAACAACTTGCACCTTAATATCAGCAAGACAAAGGAGATGGTGTTGGACTTTCGGAGGAAGAGAAGAGAACTAGCCCCGCTGTACATCGGGGAGGGCTGTGTGGAGAGAGTCTCTTCCTTTAAATTCCTGGGAGTTTATCTCAGTGAAGACTTTAATTGGAAAATAAATACAACCCAGGTGGTTAAGAAAGCCCAACAGAAACTCCATCTCCTCAGAGTATTGCAGAAGAACAATGTCAATCAACATTTGATGATCTCCTTCTACCGGTCCACGATAGAAAGCGTCCTTTCATACTGCATCACGGTGTGATATGCTGGTTTGAAATCAACTGATAGGAAGTGTCTACAGACGGTGGTGAATGCAGCACAAGATATTATGGGCTGTCCTGTGAATCTGCTGGATGAAATAGCAGAAGAACGTTGCCTCAGGAGAGTGAGGAAACCTGCCCTCAGGCAGAAGATATAGAAGCGTGATTAGTTGCACCAGCAGGGTAAAGAACAGCTTCTATCCGTGGGCTGTTAGGCTGCTGAATGAAAAGATAACAACAGAGCAACTGACTTTTGGGGCTGGTAGGTGTGCGTCAGTAAACAAGGGGAATTAAGACTAAGTGAGCTGAGTGGGGGGTGCTCGTGTAATCTCACTGTATACAAGTTGTACAAGTGACAATAAAGTACAGTGGTACCTCAGGTTACATATGCTTCAGGTTACATATGCTTCAGGTTACATACGCTTCAGGTTACTGACTCTGCTAACTCAGAAATAGTGCTTCAGGTTAAGAACTTTGCTTCAGGATGAGAACAGAAATTGTGCTCCGGTGGCGTGGCAGCAGCGAGAGGCCCCATTAGCTAAAGTGGTGCTTCAGGTTAAGCACAGTTTCAGGTTAATAACGGACCTCCGGAACGAATTAAGTACTTAACCCGAGGTACCACTGTATTTCAATTTGTCTTAATCATATTTTTAGTTCTCAGGTTGTCCATTATTTCATCCAGACATGTTGTCATACTGCTCACCCTGTCTTACACAGTCCAGAAACTGGTTCACTGTTCATCAATCTATTCAATACAGTGGTGCCCCGCAAGACGAATGCCTCGCAAGACGGAAAAACCGCTAGACGAAAGGGTTTTCCGTTTTGGAGTTGCTTCGCAGGACGAATTCCCCTATGGGCTTGCTTCGCAAGACGAAAATGTCTTGCGAGTCTTGAGATTTTTTTTTCACTTCCCCCCCCCCTTTATCTAAGCTGCTAAGCCTTTAATAGCCTTTTAGCAGCTAATCCGCTAAGCCTTTAAGCCTTTAATAGCCGCTAAACCGCTAATCGCGCTAATCCGTTAAGCCGCTAATAGGGTTGCTTCGCAAGACGAAAAAACCGCTAGACGAAGACACTCGCGGAACGGATTAATTTCGTCTTGCGAGGCACCACTGTATTCAAGAGTTTGGTTCATTCTCTCAGTCCATTTCCGTCCATCCTATTTTAAAAGTCTGATAATGGTTCTTCCTCAGTCCATTTTTATCCATCCCGTTTCCCACCTTCAATAATCCTTTGGAAAGTAATTAATTCAATCAGTTCTATATCTGTAATTCAGTGATATCTTTATCCTTGGTTCTTCAGAACCCGACCCTCTGGTTCTCATTCATACTTCAGCCATTCATATCCATTCATAACTGCATTCAGACCCATCAAACATACTAAATATATAAGCAATTATAAAATAAGATCGCATTTGGTTCTCACAGACTATTCCTGTGACTTAAAAACATCTTACTAAATCACATACTGTATATTCTGTAAGAGATTCAGCATATACCTGAACATTAGGAGAATGCATGTTGTTGTTTGATAGTCTGGGGAGCTTGAAACCAACTGTATTGAAAGAATACCTTTAATATTATCTATTCATACACAATTTGTGAAAAACACCTTTTCACCCTCACATCTTCACTGGTGTTCAGGTAATCTACATATCCTGCAGTTCGGAAGACTGTAGACAAAGGTGACATAGGAAGGGTGGACTGGGTTACTCTAGGATCTGCCTATGTGCAAATACATGATTGTAAAGGTAAGGTAAGGGACCCCTGGACGGTTAAGTCCAGTGAAAGGTGACTATGGGGTGCGAAGGTCATCTCACTTTTCAGGCCGAGGGAGCCGGCATTTGTCCGCAGACAGCTTCCGGATCATGTGGCCAGCAGGACTAAGCTGCTTCTGGTGAACCAGAGCAGCACACAGAAACGCCGTTTACCTTCGTGCCGGAGCAGTACCTACCTATCTACTTTCACTGGTATGCTTTTGAACTGCTAGGTTGGCAGAAGCCTGGACAGAGCAACGGGAGCTTACCCCCTCAGGCAGATTCAAACCACCAACCTTCCAATCAGCAAGCCCAAGAGGTTCAGTGGTTTAGACCACAGCGCCACCCATGTCCCAATGATTTAAAACATCTTCCCAATGAGGAAAAACAAGGGGGAAAGTTCTGGTTGGAAGAAAGGTGGGGTATAAATTTGAAACAAAAACAATTCCTGTTAAACACCGTGACATTTGACTCATTGCCCCACTTTCATGGAAGGAGGGAACAAAAGGAAGCCCAGAAAGGAAGTAGCAGGGACAAAGGCAATGACCCCACTCAGTTGCTCTACTTATTGCTCCTGGCTGTTGCAGATGTATGTACGTATATATGAAGTATATACTGAAAGAACCAGAAAAACATTGGAGTAAATACTCAACATTTTAATATGAAAGGGAGATATGAAGCCCAGTTGTACTTGATACAGTACAGGAAAAAAGTGCAGCATGTAACTGAACACACCATCCAGTAGTTAAAAACCACAATGAAAGCTAATGCCAGAAAGAGCAACTGTCTGCTACATTTTAAGTGGTACAGTGGTACCTCGTGTTACTACCTAATCTGTTCTGGAGGTCCGTTCGTAACAGGAAACCACTTGTAACATGAGGCATGCTTTCTCTAATGGTGCCTCCCACTGCTGCGCCACCAGCACGCAACTTCCACTCACATCCCAGGGCAAAGGTCGCAACAAGGGGCATCTACTTCTGGGTTAGCAGAGCATGTAACCCACAGCATTCGTAAAGGGGACGGTACGTAACACGAGGTACCACTGTACCTCTAAGATCTACAGTGTGGCTAAATTTGCCAGCAAAAGCTGTTAAAACATGTACACACTAGAAGACAAAGGCAATCAGAGAATCACCGTCGCAGTATTATCATCTGGCAACCCGTTATACTTTACAGACTATAAATACATATACATGGTTTGTAATATTCTCCAACTGCAACAATACCAAACACACAATATGAGCACTACCCTGCACTTGTACAATAACTTACTGAACAGTCTGAAATTTACTTAAACTCATAAGACCTGCCAAGCTGAGCTTTTACTAAAGTGGAAGTGACATGTTTTCTCATGAATATGCCATTGACAGTAAATATTAATGGCCTTCATGAGGCAAGGGCAGGGCATTCCAACTGCAGAACAACTTTTGATGAAATAGGTTGGGCATGCTTATTCACACATCCTAAAGTGTTTCTAGGATGTGTCAATAAAAAAACCCCACGTTTCTAATGGGACGCCATTAAAACCACAGCGCCCAGGACTTGCTGATCAGATGGTCAGTGGTTCGAATCCCCGCAACGGGGTGAGCTCCCGTTGCTCGGTCCCTGCTCCTGCCAACCTAGCAGTTCGAAAGCACGTCCAAGTGCAAGTAGATAAATAGGTACCGCTCCGGCAGGAAGGTAAACGGCATTTCCGTGTGCTGCTCTGGTTCGCCAGAAGTGGCTTAGTCATGCTGGCCACGTGACCTGGAAGCTGTACGCCGGCTCCCTCGGCCAATAAAGCGAGATGAGCACCGCAACCTCAGAGTCGGCCATGACTGGACCTAATGGTCAGGGGTCCCTTTACCTTTAAAGTGTTTTTGGATTGCTTTATGTTACTGGTTTATTATTTGTGCTTCAGGGATAAGTGTTGGTAGGATGTGGGAAGATCCCTTCGTGGGTCTGCTAGAGGCTGAGCGCTTGACAGCAGTTGCACAGCTGCAGAATTAAGTCTGCTAGCCCCTGGCTATGGGCCCATCTTCCCTGACAAGTGGGAGTAATTTAGGTATCAGGACAGCCAGCATGTAGCCACTGCGAGTCTGAAGTCTATCAGTCTCCCAGACAGATGGAGCCTGACCAACGTGTCTTGATGTGGGCCCTGACTGGATAGATGCTACATATTGGCATCTTTGTTTGCAGCCCCCAGTGGGCAAGTCTAATCTTGCTTATGTTGCATTATTCTGCTTACAGGCTATTTCACTGCTTTTTATTATGCATGAAGTCTGCTACTTCATAAAAGCACTGAAGTTCTCTCCACTGATGTTCTTATTGCCACTGAATCCAAAAGAACACTTGCATTTGGCAAAACACAAGGTTAAGTCATGGAAAGGCACAGACAAGGATAATATTTTATTGATCTATGCTCCAGGAAAACTAGCGTTTAGCAACAACTCACAATAGTTTCAGAGTCGAATGCCCAGCGAGCATGGAGAATTACAACCGAACAGAGTAAGAGTACAATGTGCATCGTAGACAGAACTGCTGGGAACCACAGGTGGGCAGAGTGCTGTGGTGCTCATATCCAGCTCGCCGTCTTCTCACAGGCATATGGCCGGCCACTGTGAAAACATGATGCTGGACTAGATGAGCCCTTGGCAGGCTTGTTTTATGTTCTTATACAGAAAATCCACTTTTAAAACAGAATGGCACAAAAGTGAAACAGAAGGCTAGTGAAAACACTGTAAACTTATATAGGATTTGTTTCAAGTAACTTTGCAACAACAACAAAACTAATTTCTAGACTGATGAAGGTAGGCTTACATAAGACACTTTTGAATTCCAAAGTTAACAGTTTGGTGACTAACACTACTGCTGGTTTGTTTGTTTTTTTAAATTACTTGTCAAGGTTTCTAAACTGGCTGCAAACACACAGAATGAACTCCAGATCAAACACAATGGGGTGCTGGTGCATTGAGCAAAAAAATGTGTTTGCCAAATATACTTTATTGCGCTTGATTCAGCTATATCAGTTGCAGTGATCTGCCTGTCCTTGAGCTGGATCCAGCCTTCCAAGCCTTCCCCAGGGACTTGCTAACCCCTCAACCCAATGTTACACAGCTCCTCTGGTGAAAAAAAACCCTGTGCCAAGTAAAAATGGGGCAGAGCCATTTTCACCCCTTTTGAGGTACCAGGCAGTGAGTTTTAAACCTCTCTGCCCATCTCTGCACTACAAGAAGGAAGCAAATGGTCTCTTCCCTGCCCATTAGAGTAATGATCTAGAGAGTGGGGAGAAGACAATAACCTGCTTCCTCAGCTGATCTGTCTATGGTGTGTAGTCTGTATGTTTAGTACAGTTCAATTCCCAAGTATTGGCCAAGGGTGAATGTGGAGCTCAGGCCAAAACAGGTTTGCCACACCTGAGCTATACCATAGCTTGAGCTACAGTTCATGAGGTGGGAGTCAGATAAAAGGCTGGATATCACAGTTTCTCTTACAAGGCTGCATTTAGGACTGAATATACTAAAAATTATGATAAGACTCTCACAGCAGGCAAACACTGCAACAAATGCCTGGATTAACATCAGCTTCTGATTAATATTGTAGAGTTAAGAAAGCAGTCTTATTTAAAGCTGCATTGAAGTCCTACCTTCCTACCACAAAGTTCGAGTTTTGAAAAGCAAAACATGAAGTGCTGGGTTCTTCAGCCATATTCTTGTCCTGCAAAAAGTCTGTCCCTCCATAAAGCTGTTTGATTGTTCAGGTGGGACCATGTCTGTATTAAGTACAGTTTGAGTAAGCAATGTTCCTAGAACCCATTTCCATTTACTTCCTGCCATTAGAATAGCACAAAGGCACTTCAGTCTTGAGAATATACCATCACACTCAGGGCTCGTCCACTTCCACTTGTTCTGTGCTTAGAAAGCACGGGTCTGAGGTTCTCATTTGCCCTGCTGCTTTCCCTGGAAAACCCACCATTTACCACTGAATTGGACAATCATCAATCCACAGAAAAAAATGACTGACGTTTGTTCTGATTCAGCAGCAAACAGCAGGGTTTCCTGGGGAAAAGCAGCAGGACAAGCAGAAACGTGAAAGACCAGCATTGCTCTCCTGGCTTCCTAATGCTGCAGACTGCTGCTGGTTACTAAGACCTGAGAGGGCAGGAGGCAGGCAGTGGGCTGTGGCAAACTGGCTTCTCTGCTGCACCCACTGCACCAAGCTGCACGCTGCCCTCTCTCAGTCACTCTCAACAATGCACAGGGTTGGAAAGCCAAGGAAGCAATGCCATTCTGTCCATGCCGCCTGTGGAAAGCATGGTAAGGGAAGGAAATAAGGGGAAAGGATTCCCAGGACAACTGCTTTGGTATGTTTAATCCCCATGGCTGCAGCTCCATCGAAATCACACATTGTGCATGCTTGTCAACTATTATTACAGTCTTCTCTGCGGAATCTCTTGGGCTGCTTTGCTGAACCCCAGCGTTTGGCAGAATACAATTTGAGATATGCTAGAATAACCAAATAGCCATTGTGACAATTGCAAAAGCAAGTTATCAATACCAGTTGGAATATGTACAGCTTACACAGTAACTACCAGACACCTATAGCACAAAATCATATCTACCACTTACTTGGAATACAGAGGTTTATGTGACATATTATCTTTATCAGTTTACAGCGAGGGGTAGCGTGGGTGGGAGCTTTTTGGCCTACTGGGCCAGACCTTTATCTCTCCACCCTTGTGGATCGATTTTGAGAGGTGTGCGGGACCACTCATCTGTCAGTCATCTGACATAATAATTGCCTGATGTAAACAGTATTGCTTCTAATCTTACAAGGAAATGAAGTTTTACTATGGGATGGTTTGTGCAGTTTCATGGGTTGGTCCATGCTCCAGCCCAGCAACACGTTCAGAAAACAAGGCGGCACCAAACAACCCTTATGAGATGAACCTAAGCAGCCCGCCCACCCGCTGAAGAGGAATCTTGCTGGTCCTGCCCATCTATCTTGCTGACCATATGAAGCTTTATTCATTTTTATTGCTTGTGTTCAGGCAGACAAGGCCATCAACTCCACAATGAAAAAAGAACAGGAGCACTGACAGGTGACAACCAGAAGTACTCCACCAGGCTGTATTGCATGTAGCCCATGATTAGCCCAAATATCACATCTGTTACATTGTGCCTGCCTAGCATGACTCGGGAAATTCCCACTATGAAGGTCCAAAGTACCACCAGCACCCGCAGAGGGACAGCCAGGACAAGGTGATGTAGAATAAATCTGCAGACCATGGCGGCTCTCGTCGCATGACCTGAAGGAAATGAATACCTGTCCACAGACACCGTGGCAAACATGTCCATCTTGTTGTGAGCTGGCCGCCTTCGCTTTACCAATCCTTTCACCGCTGCCACCAAAATTAGATCAAGGATCAGAGCTGGGAGACAAGGTGAATAAAGAGGTTTCAGACATTTTAAAGAGCAACTTGGTAAACAACAAAGCTTAGAGACTGAATTTCTGTTATCTAACACCCATTTATCAGATTCAAGGAGATTCAGAACATAGTACTTTGATTTGCCTTTAAGGTGCCACAGAATTCATGGCTGGTTTCATACCAATATTACAAACTTACATTTGTTTCCTAGTCATAGTTCCCCAACCCTAAAATAATTTGAGTTCTGAGAACCTTGAGCTGCATGGACCTAATAAACAAAGTGACTTGTGTAGAATGCCTATACTAATCTCTGGGCATTACCAGGTGAATACATGAGGTAGCCTATTTTTCCATATAACCCTAGTAAAATTATCAGTTGGCAAAAAAATTATCAGTTGGTTCCCTGTCTTTATTATGTGAAAAATAACCCAAAATATCTACTATCCAATTTGATAGTTCTACTTTGCCCACAAGGGCTCAAATAGTCCAGAAAAGATCCATAATGTACTCAAATAATTTTTGAGAGCATCATTGAAAAGCTGCAGAAGAAACAGTCCAAAATCTGTATATAATGGGGCAGGGGGGAATCTTATATTTTAGATTTCATGTATAAATTGAATTGTTCATGGAAGTAGAAGAATGGTCTCTTTTCTACATTTAGCCTGTTAACTGACACTGATCAATGATTGATCATATCTCTGTTGAGGTAACATGCCTGGTTTAAAACAGTATGTCCCTGCTTAAATTGTTGTTACCACTCTAGCTGATGATATAGCCTACAGCCATTGTATTCCATGACAGCCATCAGTAATGAAAGAACACCTTAGTTATGAAAAAAGTCAAAAATTCATAATACAGTCGTACCTTGGATCTCGAACACCTTGCAAGTTAAACGTTTTGGCTCCCAAACGCCACAAACCTGGAAGTGAGTGTTCTGGTTTGTGAAAGTTTTTTGGAACCCGAATGTCTGACACAAATTCCACTGCTTCCGATTGAGTGTGGGAAGCTCCTGCAGCCAATCAGAAGCCTTGGTTTTCGAACTTATTCAGAAGTCGAACGGATTTCCGGAACGGATTCCGTTCGAGAACCAAGGTACAATGTTTTCTCAAATGTTTTAAATAATCTTAGAAGTAATTGTCATCGTTACTTCATTCAAGGGCAGGTGATTGTGACAATGTTGTACACGGTATTTTACCATGAACAGCATAACCATTCTCCATAAAGAGGACATGCATGCGCTACACAAGATTCCTGAGACATGCAGGACAACCATTCCAGAACTCTGCCATCCATTGTACACGTTCTCATGCCATCCCGTAAACAGGCCAGCACTTCCAATTTCTCCTCCACCTCTTGGGTTTGCCATCACCCAAGGAGGATTACAATGCCATGTGTTTAGGTGCCATCTCAAAGAAAGGCTAAAAATAACCCTCAAAAAAACAACCCAAATTCCTTCAGAACCTCCTCCTCCCAAAATTCCACCAAACTCATGTTGATCACTCCCTCCAAACCAATTTGCTTGAAATAGTTGAATAGTAATTTCCTGCTCTTTATTTCAGCTCATAGGAACAGTGATTGAATTTCCTCCAAAAACCTCAGGCTTTATATACATTTTTTACACAATGAGCACCACCTGATTATTTTTCCCTCCTGGAGCCTGATTGGGCTGCTGCTGCTGGCCAATGAGTTGTTGCATCCTAATATCCTACCAGCCTAATAGGCTGATTAACTTCCTCCTGGGGTCTAATTGGGCTGCTCCTGCAGGCCAATCAGGTTGTTTCATTCTAGGATCCTACATGCCTATGGTTCTAGGATCCAAGCTTAGTACGTAACACCCCTCCCCTCTAAGTTCCCGTTGTAGTCATCAAGGTATGCCGGTTGCCTGCGTATGCATTGTGGTCTGGGGTGTCCCTCGGTAAGGGTTCCTGGTTTTGGCTCTTGTTCCGGGGCTGCCAGCTGTGACGGGGCCACTGGGTCAAGGGGCCCTACATTAGCTTACTGGGATTGGCATGGTTCAGGTCACTGGGGCTAGCCATCACTGGGGTGAACCACACCAGCTCCCACGTGGGATTTTTTTTATTTCAATTGGATTTTTAAAATAAAATGCTTTTGGAGGAAAAATCTTTCTAAAGATAGTTTTCTATTTAAGTTACATTATACAGTGGTACCTTGGATTACAGACGCTTCAGGTTACAGATTCCGCTAACCCAGAAATAGTACCTCGGGTTAAGAACTTTGCTTCAGGATGAGAACAGAAATCACGCGGTGGCGGCGCAGCGGCAGCAGGAGGCCCCATTAAGAACAGAAGGCCCCAGGTTAAGAACAGTTTCAGGTTAAGAACAGACCTCCAGAACAAATTAAGTTCTTAACCTGAGGTACCACTGTAGTCCAAAGGCTATTCATCAGGAAATAAGGATTTGTTTTAAGTCTTTCATGTGTGCTAAAACCCAGTCTAAGTGGTTTTTTAAAAAAACCGTTCAACAAATATGGATACATATGCTAGAATGTTATTGTTTTAGTTAAATAAATTGTTTAAATTGTTATTAAGGAAATGATTATTTTTCTCCTTCCAGTAAAGTACAGCAGAAACGTTGTCCAAATATAAAGTTAACTTATTAAATCTCACAATAATTTCATAATTATCTGTCTATGTGTTTCTAATAGTATAACCAAATCAGTAATTTTTGATATACAGTAACTGTAAAAACCACTCTGAAAATTTATTATTCCAAAAATGAAACCTTCATCTGGTTGTAAATATTAAAGTTATACCAGCAAGAATGAGTCTTTCTGTAAAAAAATGATTTAAATCAAGTCTTACTGACTAGTGATTTAAATTGATTTGATTTAAATCAAATCCACCCTGCCCTGTGGGATTGCTAGGAGCTGTTTTCGCGCCTTTTTTAACCTTCTTGCACTCTTTTACAGCTGTTTTTGTCATTTTTAAAATCACATCTGGGTTCACGACAATGCATGTGTGCACAGTTGTGCATGCTTTCAAAGCACATAAACGGGGAGTTTCTGGCATATTCGTGTTCCTGAAAAGACTTCTATAGGAAAACCAATGGCAGCAGGTTCCACTTGGATGACATACGAAACATAGTTTGGGATGAAACATTTGGGTAGACCTGTACAGGTTCATCTAAATCAGGAGAAACCGTTTTCATAAATGGCCATTGGCCTACTGTACCTATCTCATGAAGAACCATGGCATCAACATCCATACAATTTATGTCAAACTAAGTTTTGGAGTGTTGCAACAATAGTTAATATTGTATGTAATTTCCTCCTTAGCACAGGAAGGTTGGGATGAAGGCAAGTGTCATGGCCACAACACTCTTTGTGCCCTTGCACTCTAAGGCTGAATAAGGGCTCTGTCTGAAATACAAACACAAGCCAGATTTTCTAGAAGTGGAAGCTCAGATTTAAATATGACATAATAAATATAAGTAATGGTAAAAATATTAGTAAATGGTATGTCAAATACAATCATTATAGCTCCAAATTTTTTTTAGTTATATACATCTTTCTAATGCAGATAGGGATAGCTTCCAGCGTGTCTGTAGAAAACATTGCAATGGGACATCATTTTCATAAATGACATTTTAGGGAAAGATGGAATGAATGGGGGAAATCTCTCCGCCCAGTTCTCCCAGATACACTGACAGCTGGGCTACTCCCCACAGTTATCAGATAAAAAATATGGGAAGCAAAGACCACACAAGGTAAAGCTTTGATAAGAAAGGGAGCTCTTACCAAAGAGCAGGTTGAGCAGCACCTCACGGCCTGCTGAGCTGGCACTTCTACAGAGCCCATACAATGTGCCAGCCAACCAAGGAATGCCATGTCCTGAAATCTCTACAGCCTTCATCAGAGGACGAGCACTGCCCCAAGGGGAATTCTCTCCAGCACATACCCCCAACTGTTTAGAGGCCCAAAGATCAACAGCCAACAAGGAGCGCAGGGCAATACCCACAAAAGATGGATTAAGCTTCATGCAGTCCTCTTCAGGTAAAGCCTGTGGAGGACCAGCGCTGGCTGTCGATTCCTTGCGATGAGAAGGGCTTTCTGGGGGTGCTGAGCTCCTCTGACTTGTCAGTGATAGGAACTCCAGTCTGCTGCCTGGGGCCCGTCTCTCACGGCTACTCTTTGGGCTATTCCTAGGGCTAGGCATGATAGTGCGGATGTCGCTGATTTGTCGGAAGAACTGGGAAGATAAAAAGTTGGGGCAGTTTGATTCATCAGTCTATGCAATAAATGCATTAATATTTTAATCACATATTTTAACATATTGTGCCCCTTTCCCTCTTAGAGACAACACAGCCTAATCTAACACATGTCTACTCAGAAAAAAAACTCACTGAATTCTGTGGGTCTTACTCCCACATATGTGGTTATATGACTGTAGTCTAAATCAGTTAAGTAGCAGCATTTGCTAGAGCTACCTGCTTTTGAGATTCAAAAGCTATTTTAGCTTGAACAAAGCAATAAAAACCAGACAAATAAAAATCTGTATATTACTGATCAGTAAGTATCCCGAAAAACAGCTTCAACATTGTAAGCAAGCTACACACTTCCACATTCTACAAGTAGCAACCAACTGGTGTGTTTAAAATAATGCTATAAAATAAAATAATGCTAGCATTTAACTATAGCATTGTCTATTTCAGTTATCCAATAAATCACCAGTTTCTATTGTTTCAAACATGCAGGTACTGATGGCAAAGTTCTGCAGCTGTAGCACACATTCATGTAATTTAGACTAGGGGTGCAGAATTCAGCATGCTAAGGATTTCAACATCATTTTTGAAATAGCATATTTCTAGCTGTCATGGATATAAAAGTATCTTGCAAGTGCCTGCTGAAATTTCAGAAGCTGGAAGGGCAAGGTGGAGGATTTCTAGAGGGCAGCACTTCAGTGTCCTACATATTTTGGACCTCCAGTTCACTTACAAGAAGCAAGAACATGCAAAATTACCTAATATGTATAATAATAATAATAATAATAATAATAAAAAATTTTATTTATATCCCGCCCTCCCCAGCCAAAGCCGGGCTCAGGGCGGCTAACAACAATCAAATAATCAAACAATCAAATAATCCAACATTCTAAAAACATTTCATTATAAAAATTATTTATAATCAAATTGATGGCAACCGTTAAGCAAAATTCTGTGCAGATTGCCAGAGGAGGGAGTCAGGCTGCGCCCTGACCAAAGGCCTGGTGGAACAACTCTGTCTTGCAGGCCCTGCGGAAAGATGTCAGGTCCCGCAGGGCCCTAGTCTCTTGTGACAGAGCCGATTGGAGCCGCAGCCGAGAAAGCCTTGGCTCTAGTTGAGGCCAGCCTAACCTCTCTGTGGCCTGGGACCTTCAGGATGTTTTTATTTGCAGACCATAGGTTCCTCTGTGGGGCATACCAGGAGAGGCGGTCCCGTAGGTACGAGGGTCCTAGGCTGTATAGGGCTTTAAAGGTTAAAACCAGCACCTTAAACCTGATCCTGTACTCCACCGGGGGCCAGTGCAGCTGGTATAGTACCGGATGAATGTGATCTCGCAGCAAAGACCCCTTAAGGAGTCTCGCCGCAGCATTCTGCACCCGCTGGAGTTTCTGGGTCAGTCTCAAGGGCAGCCCCACATAGAGCGAGTTACAATAATCCAGTCTGGAGGTGACCATCGCGTGGATCACAGTGGCTAAGTCAGGGCGAGAGAGATAAGGGGCCAACTGGTTAGCTTGGCGGAGATGAAAAAATGCCGCCTTTGTTATAGCTGTAATCTGCGCCTCCATAGAGAGGGAGGTATCGAAGATTACACCCAAACTCTTAACGGACGGTGCTGGCACTAATTGCACCCCCGCAAGAGATGGGAGTTACCCCCTCAATCCCATATCATCCCGTCCCAGCCAGAGGACCTGTCTTCGAAGGATTTAACTTCAACCGGCTCCCACGTAACCATCCAGCCACAGCTTCCAGACATCTGGTCAGTGTGTCTGGGGCCGAGTCTGGATGGCCACCCATCAACAGATAGAGTTGGGTGTCATCAGCATACTGATGGCAACCCAGCCCAAAACTCCGGACAAGCTGGGCGAGGGGGCGCATAAAGCATCGGGGAGAGTATCGCACCCTGAGGCACGCCACACACCAAGGAGTGGCACGATGACAATTCCCCCCCAAGCGCCACCCTCTGTCCCCGACCAGAGAGAAACAAGCGCAGCCATTGAAGGACTGTGCCCTGGATCCCCACGTCGGCAAGGCAGTGGTCCAGGAGTTCGTGATCGACCACGTCAAAGGCTGCTGACAGGTCTAGAAGAATCAGCAGCCCCGTCCCGCCTCGATCCAGCTGCCTGCGGAGATCATCTGTTAGGGCGACCAGAGCAGTCTCGGTCCCATGACCAGCACGGAAGCCGGACTGGAATGGATCCAGAGCCGATGTTTCATCCAGAAACCTACCAAGCTGTTCAGCAACCGCTCTCTCAATCACCTTACCCAGGAATGGAAGATTCGAAACCGGGCGGTAATTGGATAGATCTAAGGGATCTAATGATGTTTTCTTTAAGAGCAGGCGCACCACTGCCTCCTTCAGTTCCCCTGGGAATATCCCGGTGCCAAGGGACAAATTGATGATATCCCCCGGGGGGCCCACACCTCGTCTGGACACGCTCTAATCAGCCAAGACAGGCACGGGTCAAGAGGACAGGTGGTGGGCTTTCCAGCTCGGAGGAGTCTGTCCACATCGGCTGGGGATATCCGGTCAAAGTGGTCCAATACTGGACCCGAGGACAGTCGCGGGGCCTCCAGTTCCTTTATTGTATCCAAATTGGCAGGGAGGTAGTGGCGGAGCAACAGGACCTTCTCCGCAAAAAAGCTCGCAAATGCCTCACAGCTGTGTGTCAGATTGTTATTTAAATTTGGCTGTCCTTCAAGGGACGTTAAAGACCTAATTATACTAAATAATTGCACCGGGCGAGAGCTAGCGGATGCAATGGAGGCCAAGAAGTAAGACTTCTTAGCGGCCTTCACTGCCATCTCATAGGTTTTCATAAAAACCCTATAAGATGTTCTTAGGCTCCGTCACGGGCATCCCGCCATACTCGCTCTAGCCGTCTGAGGTCCCGCTTCATTTTCCGAAGCTCCTCGGTAAACCAGGGAGCCCGGTTTCTGCGGGGTCGCAGAGGGCGCTTAGGTGCGATCTCATCGATGGCTGCCAGGAGCTGGATATTCCAGCCCTCAACAAGCTCAGTCAGTGAGTCGCCAGGGGGAGCAAGGTCCCGCAAGGCTTGACGGAATTATGTATACATATCACAGAATTTAGCTGCTTTCTTTTTGCAGGTTTTTGTAATGGGGGGGGGGTTTAAATCAAGTTTCAGTCCACTGATGCAATTTGAAGTTGGATCAAGAAAAGTAGGGTACAATATGCATGCTGGACACTAACAGACAGGTTTCCCCATATTAAATGTGAGGTACTCATATAAGAGGACTGTATCACATCCATTTCTTTCTGCACACTTTAACTGGCCTTTAAACTCATAAACCTAAGAGGATCAAAACTTTTTTCTGTGTGCAACCAATTTGTGAATAATAAATATGGCTTTCATTCCTCTCCACAATCAGCAAAAGATTTACTTTTTAGAATATTACTTAAGCAGTAAGAAACCTAAGGTGTTATAAGAACTTGGGAAAATAGGAAGAGCTCTGCTGGATCACACCAAAGGGCTATGAAATGCAGCATTCTGTTCACAGTGGCAAACCAGATACCTACAAGCAGAACAGAAGTGCTGTAGCCCACTTGCAGCCTAGGACCCACGTACCTATGGGACCACCTCTCCTGGTATGCCCCATGGAGGATCTTAAAGTCCACAAATGACAACACTTTTGAGGTCCCAAGTCGCAAGGTGGTTAGATTGGTCTCAACTAGGGCCAAGGCCTTTTCAGTACTTGGTGGAATGCTCTGTCACAAGAGACTAGGGCCCTGCGGGACTTGACATCTTTCCGCAGGGCCTGCAAGACAGAGCTGTTCCACCTGGCCTTTGGTTTGGACTCAGTCTGACCCTTATGTTTCCCTCCCCTTACGGTTTTGATCTATGGGCTACTTTTAAAAAGAGGCTGCAATTTAAATTGGGTTTTTTTCTATTATGTTTTTATTGTAATTTTACTGGTGTTAGCTGCCCTGAGCCCAGCTCTGGCCAGGGAGGGCTGGGTATAAATATTTTTTTTTATTATTATTATGTAAATGGAACAAAATGTAAGCAATCTGTTGAAAATCACAGGGCTCGGGTCGGTTCATAGGGGGAGAGGTAGGTGGTCCTGAGCCCTTTAAGGGTTTAGTGGTCAAAAGCAGCACTTTGGATTGGACCCGGTAGTTAGCGGGCAGCCAGTGCAGTCGGACCAGGATCGGCGTGAGATGCCCGAACCGGCTTCCCCCGGTGAGCAACTTGGCGGCTGAATTCTGCACCAGCCGAAGCTTCCGAACCGTCTCCAGGGGCAGCCCCACGTGCAATGCTCTGCAGTAGCCTAACCTAGCGAGGCAACCCTTTAGGCGCGTGAAGAGTCTCCCTCCAGCCCGGCCTGCAGCTCTCCTTCCGCCCACCTGGGCTCAGCTCCCGGAAGGGCGAAGGCGGCCCTGGGCGGCAGGGGTGCCCTCCTTCACAAGGCAGCTCTGGGCCCGGCCCCTTTTGCTCTGGCCTTGGTCTGGAAAGGTCTCGTCCCCCCGAGAGCGCGGGGCCTGCCGCCTCTCCGAAGGAGGCTCTCCGGAGGAAGGCCTGGGCGGAGGGCGACGCCGGAACTGGAGCGCCGCGCTCGGGGGGGCCTCCCTCACGCCCGCCCGCCCCTCCAGCGCCCCCCAAGCGCCCTCGGCCCTCAGCCCGGCCAGCGCCGCCCCCCGCCTTCGCGCCCCGCCGTTACCTAGCAACCTCGCCACCCTCTGCGGCTCTCGCGGGAGGCGGGCCTTGGGCTCGGCTTCCGCTTCCGCCCGGCGCCATAGGGCCGCAGCCGCCGGCCGAGGGGCGGGGCTGGAAAGAAAAGGCGGGAGAGGAAGCCCCCCCCCTTCGCTCAGGGTCAAATTCGCACGATAGGCCGAGCTCCGCCGGCCTGCTTTAGAAACGGGCGGCCGTTTAGGCTCATGAAAGCGACCGCCCTGGCCTCGGCCTTTTCCCTTCTCTCTCACGGCGCCCTCAGGGA